CATAAACGATTTTTCCGACTCTTACAACTAGTGTGAACCAGGCTTAAGTACTTTTCAATTATTTTTAATTTGATTTTGAAGGACTTTTCATGTGCTCTTAAGCTGACTTTCTAATTTAAGAGCTTTTTAAGTGTCCTTTAAATTGGTTTTTTTGAACTTGAAAGTTCTTACTGGAAAACACGGGTACGGGTAAACCGGTAGAATATGACGGGTAGATTTTAACGGGTAGATTTTAACGGGTAGATAGTCACAGTTGGTTGTTTTGATGGGAAATACAAACACACGAATATACACAAGGATATATAGCACGCCATTATTCTAGCGTAGTTGCTTCTTTTCCGCTTAATTTCCGCTTCCACTCCATTGGCCGCCATGTTTTTAATATCATAATTTCATCTCGGAAAGCGAGAATTCACAAGGAAAATTTTCATCCTGCCTACTTATGACCTCGCCTCCTACAGATGAGATCTAGGCCACCAGGCCAGCCTGCCTTCTCAGTTAACACAATTAACTTTGACTGTTTGACTATTGTTCACATGCGCATTGATTTATCTGTACGGTAGTTTTTAGTCCTCCTGGACAAAAGCAGAAGAAACAGTAGGTACGTCAACGATTATTAAGCACTTTCAAGTTCTTTGTTTTAATGAAACAGAGACTTTGTCGTGGTGACAAACTTAAAGATGGATTTCAAAATAGCAAATACCATGGTGAATGGTGATAATAACAATGAAATAGTTCTTAAAAGAACTGTTTCAACCAGAACACTAACCCAACAATTCAAAGGAACTGTTTAGTTTCCTTTTTAAGGACTTTTAAAACTGCCCTTAAATTAATTTTCTATTTTATGAACGTTAAAACTGCCCTTTAAATTTATTTTCGATTTAGGGCTGTTCAAAACTTTAAGAACCTATACAAGGCCATGATTAGTAATGAAATGCTGCACGTTTGTATAGTTTCCTATGACCACGAGAAATTCTAAAAGCAGCCTGCTTGTAAGTCCTAATAAATTTCTTTCAATGCCATTATGACTTGCTATCAACTGAATGGTTCAATACTTTAGTTTGTAGGTGTGTAAATAGTGTGACTGAAGTTTTATTTTGTTCATGTAGTGTAGTGAGGATTTTATATAATTATATCGGAAAAGCTCAAACAAAATGCAGCTTATACTTTAGTAATAATGCAGGTGAAATCCACTAATAATTGTGACAACTAGAGTTTGAATATTAATGCATTTAAATATTTAACTATCGACAGTTCGTGATAAATATGCGCTGTGTGTGTTGTATTTAGCTAAAACCAAAATGTAAAAAATACTTCATTTTATATTGAAAACATTTAACTCTGTTCAGGATTTAACTCTTACAGTTATTTGCTATCACAAAACAAAGATTTAGTAGTGATAATAAACTTTGATTATTTAACGCGGCTTTGCCTTACCTAGGGCTTACACAACCGCGTTAACACTACAGGCCTTTTTCCTTACCTAGGGCTTACACGGACCTATTAACACTACAGGCCTTTGCCTTACCTAGAGCTTAGACAGACGCGTTAACACTACAGGCCTTTGCCTTACCTAGGGCTTACACGGACGCGTTAACACTACAGGCCTTTGCCTTACCTAGGGCTTACACGGACGCATTAACACTGCCTTTGCCTTACCTAGGACTTACACAGCCGCATTAACACTACAGGCCTTTGCCTTACCTAGGACTTACACGGACGCATTAACACTACAGGCCTTTGCCTTACCTAGGCTTACACGGACGCATTAACACTACAGGCCTTTGCCTTACCTAGGGCTCACACGGACGCATTAACACTACAGGCCTTTGCCTTACCTAGAGCAGACAGACGCGTTAACACTATAGGCCTTTGCCTTACCTAGGGCTTACACGGACGCATTAACACTACAGGCCTTTGCCTTACCTAGGACTTACACGGACGCATTAACACTACAGGCCTTTGCCTTACCTAGGGCTTACACGAACGCATTAACACTACAGGCCTTTGCCTTACCTAGGGCTTACACGGACGCATTAACACTACAGGCCTTTGCCTTACCTAGAGCTTAGACAGACGCGTTAACACTATAGGCCTTTGCCTTACCTAGGGCTTACGGACGCGTTAACACTACAGGCCTTTGCCTTACCTAGGACTTACACGGACGCGTTAACACTACAGGCCTTTGCCTTTACCTAGGACTTACACGGACGCGTTTACACTACAGGCCTTTGCCTTAAGGACTTACACGGACGCGTTAACACTACAGGCCTTTGCCTTACCTAGAGCTTAGACAGACGCGTTAACACTACAGGCCTTTGCCTTACCAAGGGCTTACACAACCGCGTTAACACTACAGGCCTTGCCTTACCTAGGGCTTACACAGCCACGTTAACACTACAGTCCTGTACCTGACCTAGGACAGTTTTCTACGGACTACGCGCAATGCTGGTCCTATAGGTCAGTTCTGGGTCTGGCTTGATGCGTTTACAAGGTAGGCCTAGGTCAGCTACAAGATCGTAGTGTAAACGCGGCTCAAAAGACTTTGCGTTAGATACTAAGTCGGATTTGATGAAAACCAAAAATCTTTTTTTATTTGTAGCAAAGATAAGAAAAGATAAAACACTACCAAACGTTGAGGTGACGTCAAAAACAGGAATAGGTTTGGATCCGTTTTTTTATTACAACATTCCATTCTTTATGGTAAACTTCCATTCTTTATGGTAAACTTTCATTCTTTATGTAAACTTTCATTCTTTATGGTAAACTTCCAATCTTAATGGTAAACTTTCATTCTTTATGGTAAACTTCCATTCTTTATGGTAAACTTTCATTCTTTATTATATGCTGCACTTTATATCATTAACTTCCACTTTGCACTATGTACGATTGTTTTTCATTGATAGCTTCCATTTTTCATTGTTAACTTTAGATGTAGATGAAACAAAATAACAACTTGCGCTGAGACTACCACATGATATTTTACATGAAATGAAAACTATATTTCCACTGTTGGGTCTATTAAGCTATTTATTTTTTTCTGACGAATGGAAATTTCTGTTATGAAGTTTGTCTATTCATGGATAAGTTACAAAACAGCAAAGGTCAACCCATACCTGACAAATAGTTTTACTGCATGTGTCGTGACAATTCTACAAGTATAAATAATTATCGTGTAGTGCAGATGTGCCCACTAATGAAAAGTGGCATTCTGACTCTCGAAAACGTGTCGTTCGTTTTAGTGCAACAGCCACTACCTAAAAACTGGCGTAACATAGTGGCGTAAACTGTTTTGTTAAAAGCTCAGTTGATGATTGATTATGATTGGTTGATTTTCGAAACTTTATATATAACGCATTAGACATTTTACAAAAAACTTGTTATGAACGTAAATTATTGTATGATGAGCAGCAATATGACATGTTTGCAATGGTTTAGTTAAATACTTGTTCAAGTGTTTCGTCTTCACTAAAGGCGACAGAAAGTTTACTTGGTTGCTTCAATTCTCTTGTTCCTCGCAGGAACAATGTGGCAATGTTTATAAGTATACGCATATTTTGTACATATAAAGCGACAACTATCATGTATAAAACATTGATGATGAAACCTACATGTTTAACAAAAAATTTCAAAGGTGACTGCAATTTGTTTTAACAAATGCCAGAGATATAATTTGATAGTTTACGACAAATGTAAAGTTAACTCCAGGAGTCATTCAGTAAAATTTTTACACATATACAGTATACTTCAACTTTGTTTGGAAAATTATTGTAATACAAATTCCTCTGCTGCAACTTGAATAACAATAGACTTTTGCATGTGAGTTGATTTCATTGCGGCGAATCGCGCATAGCTTAAGACTGCGTTTACACTATACCGCATTCCCTCATCACGACATCTTCATTTTCTTTAAAGGGGTAACTGTACAGACTAAAAGATGATAGATTTAGTCTATTTGACTGTGTTTCTGACGTCGAACAATTTCACTGCCTTTTAATAAAAAGAATATTCAACCTGCTACGATACCAATCCGGTATAGTGTAAACGGGGCCTAAATTTCTACGTCTCCTCAGCTGAGCAAACTGCATCCTGACAAAAGTTCGGTAGAAAATAGACACAGTTCTACTCTATTTCAATGTAGCTATTGGGTAAAGTAAGGATGAAAGAGACAGTTGAGAAATTTTGGGGTATTAGCTTTTTGAATCACATCACTAACGGATTTTGAAAAAATTACCGACTAATCAATTGATAAGTTTGATGAAAAAAAATTAAAACCAGTATTTACTTAAATCATTCTATTGTCAACACCTTGTATTGTTGTCAACTTGTCTTGTTTTTAACTTATATTGTTGTATTTCCTTGGCAACTGACAAACACCTGTCTTACAACGACCCCTTTTGTTGTAAGACAGGTTCTTAGAGGAGACCTAAATGCTATAAAACCTATTCATAACGTCACCCTATAGCGTATGCTTGCGTATACATACTTATATGAATGATTTTGACCAATCGCTGCCATATGCTGGTGCTATATGCGTCTTTGCAACAGGGAGGTTATTCACGAATCGACTTGTGGCATGTTATGTTTCTATCAAGCTTATATATAAGATTCATATAATAATTTGTAAGAACGAAGGATTGATGTCATTGTTAACACCAGTAAAAAAATATGCTCTGGTACAATGTTTATTGCTTTTTAAAAAAGTAATTTCAGCATTGAGAAAGTTCTCGTGAAAAGATATTAAAATATTTGAAATACCTCAATATGTGGGTAGCTTGAACGTAATGCGTCATTGAATCACACAAAATTTAATTGCTTATTGCGTACATTCAAAATAACTTTTATTTTTGCTTTATATCGTAACTAACCGCATAAAATGTCATAAATTACGGCATAATCCAAAAATTACTTTAATATCACTTTGCTATATATTTATTGCATAATGTCAGTAAGTTGAATACTTAACATACCTGTAATTTTAAGTACTGTGAAGTAATGGAAATTTCAATAGTATGGTTGTGTAAGTTTCATTATGATTGGTTCAAATTTTGTTCTAATAATGCATAAATTAAGAAGTATATTTATAATCATCAAAACAGACAGATTAAAGGCAAACTATTTTTGATTTTAACAATAAAGTAATCGAATCATCTGTATATATTCAAAATTTAAACATAATAACCGAAACATGATTGATGTTATTATACTTGAGGCACTTTCATTTCTTGGCGGAATTAAAATTTTAGACATATTTACAAGTGGCATTGCTGACTATTTATGGCGCCGGGAAGTCAAGAAATATTTAAAAGAAATAAAAGACAAATTAGATGGTCTTGCGCAGGTAGATCTTCTTTCGAGTATAGACTCTTTGGAAGAAGGAATTATTGAACTTTTTCGGTGGTTTGACAAAGTGACAAGTTTTGAATCGAGAGAACGTACAGAAGCAAATAATGACGACATTTCAACGGCAATGTCCAGTTCCATTGTGCGTAAAGCTTGGAGAGCAATGGAACAATTCATTCAAGAAAATGAAAATTTAGAGACTGGGTCAATTAACTTTGAAAATGCAAAGAAAGAATTTTACACATCCCGGTCAAAAGCAACGGATGCGTTCAACAACAAAAATTTAAGCTTTGAGAACAGATTATTGGCTGTAAAAGTGAAGATCGTTGCAAAAATTTTGGAGTGCCTTAATTGCCCAGAGGAAGCCATTGATTTCTGTACACAGTATATGAAAAAGCTACATCAACTGGAAGAAGTTCGTAAAAAGTTCTCACTTCACATCAAGGGTGGCTGGAAAGCAAAATTGAGCAATATAACAGACGACAGAATGAAAATTATAAAACCAGTGATGCTCCTCAACCGTCAATTGTATGACTTCATTGCGAGTATCAAAGACTATAATAGTCATGTATTGGGTTGGCCAACTATTGAACTTGGAGAAGGACAGTCGTTTAACCCCATATTGACTGGCGAAAGATCTCCACCACAAATTCTTGGGGTGAAGAGTTGATTGCATCTCCTAACGAATTCGACTTTGTACTATTACCGGACAATGTTTGAAACTTATTAACTGCTGGGATGTTAACTGTCGTGGTGACATCGTTTACGGTTCTCATAACAAAATTAGTCTTTACAAGCCAGATGATAAATTACAAAAGCGGGGTTTTAAACTTGATGAACTTCAATATGAATATCCAGATCATGACGAAACGTACATCAGTGCTTTATCAGTTGATCAAGAAGATAACGTGTACGTAATACGAATGGTTGTTTATTTTGATGAAGAAAGAGTTGATAAGTCTTTTCATATTTTTGATAAAGACCTATCCATGAAACATAAAGTGGACATTCAGCCTAGTCTGGACACTCGGGGTTGTATGTACCCTGACTATAGGGAACGTGTTAATCATTGTTTGAAAATCTTTCACAACAATGTTGTGCTGCTCGAAGTACTAAAGAAGCCTAATACTAGTAAGTCATGTGAAGTGGTTATTTATGACAAGAACGGAGTATTTCGCAAGCGGTTTATTCCACAATCTCATGTGAACGCAATGGCTATTTCTAACAAAAATGAAATCCTTCTCGCTGGAGGTAATATCATCTACTTTTACACAATAAAAGGCTCGTTGATTAAGACGGTAAGCCTATCAATGCATAATATTTTTGATATGGCATTTCATTTTGGTCAAGGCAGACTTCTTATTTTGAATTCGTTGAGTCGTGCTATCATTTTTGATCTTGACTCCAAGGATGAAAAGGAGCTAATGCAGTCAAATCCTAGTGGATATACTGTACTCAAAGGGCATCTTAGTGGACTTACTTTGTTGGCCCACGGGCCTGTGCTCTTCTATAAAGACAGCCATTTGTTTAGAGTTCTATTCATATAACTTTTAAAAATTATAACCTTCTTGCTTACTTTCGAATTTAGACTTAGACAATTAAAATGACAACCAATTTTTTGCACATTCTTTTAAACTTGAATTTATTTCAAGCTGAGAAGAAGACGTTCACGCAAAAGGCGGCCGTATAGAATCTCGTCCTAATAGACTTTTTCATACGAGCATCTGCATTGAAATTGGACTGCTCCCAAAATATTATACATGATTGTTTATTAAAAGTCAAACTCTAAACTCTTTCATAGTGTAAGCAACATATTTCTCTCGCATATATGAGTATATATTCATTAAAATCCCGTAAAAAGTGAGTAATCTAATCACCCTTGGAACAGGATTGTCTGGATGTAATTTTCTTGTTGTTTTTTTGTTTATATTTATACGTACAGATAATACGATATTGCAGTTGTAGAATGCTAAACATCAATAAAGATATAGCAAAATAACAGTGAAATAGTGTAATAATTGTAGAATAAGCGGCCCCGGAATCAGTTTACTTTACTTATAAAAATGACTTATTTAAATATAATCCTTGATTTTATTCAAAGCATAGCTAAGAGTTATACCACTGACCTGTATACTAATTACATGGACGGGAAATCAATAGATATTATAAATAATACTAGAGGTGAAAATATTGGGCGACGAAAAGTTGTGGGAGGGGAAAGAGGGAGTCTTGCTTCGTGAAGACTCTTAGTAAAGACAAAGAACCCAAAAATTATTTTGCCATCTTCTTTTGAGTTTCTCAGCTTCACTTTGGCAGATAACAATGACATCGGTCTGAATAATTCTTGATATCATACTCAACCTCATCCAATAATTGCGTATTATTCTGTCTCACGAAAACGTATAGTTCGTTTTAGTGCAACAGCCACTACCTGAAACCTTGCGTAACATAGCGAGGTAAACTGTTTTCTTAAAAGCTCATTTGATGATTGATTATGATTGGTTGATATATCGAAACTTTTATTTATAACGCATTAGACATGCAATGGTTTAGCAATCTGCGATGTTGTATACTCATTTAAGTGTCGATGCTGCTCTGCATCGTATGTGGGTCAAACCACGCGTCATTTACACACCAGAATATCGGAACACTTGGGAATCTCTCCCTAAACAGGGAAGCCATCCTTATGTCCACCACCATCTGCAGTTCTTTCTCATATAAGAAATACATCTCACCCTGCCGATTTTATTGATTTCTCAATTCTCTCTTCCTCCTCCGACAATTATGAACTTATGATTCATGAAAGCCTTCTTATATCCAAACTTAAACCCTCTCTTAACACCCAAGGCAACTCAATCCTCCTTCACCTTCTTTAATATACCGCCATTCTCACTTAATTCCGTCATCTAAACTTCCTACTCCTCTCACATGTAATTTAACACCCCATATTATATGCTTGTATTTAAAACCTCGTGTATATATATTAACTCATTAATCTGAAGATGTCTTAAGTTAAAGACGAAACGTAATTAATAAATCCTTCTCTATTTTATTATTGTGATGGCTTTTATAAAAGTATTATGTTGGGCTATTATGTTCATATTGAAAATTCGCTTTCCGCCTGGCAAATCTCTGGCCACGATTTTAAACCAGTATTTACTTAAATCACTCTATTGTCAACACCTTGTATTTTTGTCAACTTGCCTTGTTTTTAATATATATTGTTGTATTTGCTTGGGAACCAACAAACATCTGCCTTACAACGACCCCTTTTGTTTAAGACAGGTTTTTAGAGGAGACCTAAATGCTATAAAACCTATTCATAACGTCACCCTATAGCGTATGCTTGCGTATACATACTTATATGAATGATTTTGACCAATCGCTGCCATATGCTGGTGCTATATGCGTCTTTGCAACAGGGAGGTTATTCACGAATCGGCTTGTGGCATGTTATGTTTCTATCAAGCTTATATATAATATTCATATAATAATTTGTAAGAACGAAGGATTGATGTCATTGTTAACACCAGTAAAAACATATGCTCTGGTACAATGTTTATTGCTTTTAAAAAAGTAATTTCAGCATTGAGAAAGTTCTCGTGAAGAGATATTAAAATATTTGAAATACCTCAATATGTGGGTAGCTTGAACGTAATGCGTCATTGAATCACACAAAATTTAATTGCTTATTGCGTACATTCAAAATAACTTTTATTTTTGCTTTATATCGTAACTAACCGCATAAAATGTCATAAATTACGGCATAATCCAAAAATTACTTTAATATCACTTTGCTATATATTTATTGCATAATGTCAGTAAGTTGAATACCTAACATACCTGTAATTTTAAGTACTGTGAAGTAATGGAAATTTCAATAGTATGGTTGTGTAAGTTTCATTATGATTGGTTCAAATTTTGCTCTAATAATGCATAAATTAAGAAGTATATTTATAATCATCAAAACAGACAGATTAAAGACAAACTATTTTTGATTTTAACAATAAAGTAATCGAATCATCTGTATATATTCAAAATTTAAACATAATAACCGAAACATGATTGATGTTATTTTATTTGAGGCACTTTCATTTCTTGGCGGAATTAAAATTTTAGACATATTTACAAGTGGCATTGCTGACTATTTATGGCGCCGGGAAGTCAAGAAATATTTAAAAGAAATAAAAGACAAATTAGATGGTCTTGCGCAGGTAGATCTTCTTTCGAGTATAGACTCTTTGGAAGAAGGAATTATTGAACTTTTTCGGTGGTTTGACAAAGTGACAAGTTTTGAATCGAGAGAACGTACAGAAGCAAATAATGACGACATTTCAACGGCAATGTCCAGTTCCATTGTGCGTAAAGCTTGGAGAGCAATGGAACAATTCATTCAAGAAAATGAAAATTTAGAGACTGGGTCAATTAGCTTTGAAAATGCAAAGAAAGAATTTTACACATCCCGGTCAAAAGCAACGGATGCGTTCAACAACAAAAATTTAAGCTTTGAGAACAGATTATTGGCTGTAAAAGTTAAGATCGTTGCAAAAATTTTGGAGTGCCTTGATTGCCCAGAGGAAGCCATTGATTTCTGTACACAGTATATGAAAAAGCTACATCAACTGGAAGAAGTTCGTAAAAAGTTCTCACTTCACATCAAGGGTGGCTGGAAAGCAAAATTGAGCAATATAACAGACGACAGAATGAAAATTATAAAACCAGTGATGCTCCTCAACCGTCAATTGTATGACTTCATTGCGAGTATCAAAGACTATAATAGTCATGTATTGGGTTGGCCAACTATTGAACTTGGAGAAGGACAGTCGTTTAACCCCATATTGGACTGGCGAAAGATCTCCACCACAAATTCTTGGGGTGAAGAGTTGATTGCATCTCCTAACGAATTCGACTTTTGTACTATTACCGGACAATGTTTGAAACTTATTAACTGCTGGGATGTTAACTGTCGTGGTGACATCGTTTACGGTTCTCATAACAAAATTAGTCTTTACAAGCCAGATGATAAATTACAAAAGCGGGGTTTTAAACTTGATGAACTTCAATATGAATATCCAGATCATGACGAAACGTACATCAGTGCTTTATCAGTTGATCAAGAAGATAACGTGTACGTAATACGAATGGTTGCTTATTTTGATGAAGAAAGAGTTGATAAGTCTTTTCATATTTTTGATAAAGATTTATCCATGAAACATAAAGTGGACATTCAGCCAAGTCTGGACACTCGGGGCTGTATGTACCCTGACTATAGGGAACGTGTTAATCATTGTTTGAAAATCTTTCACAACAATGTTGTGCTGCTCGAAGTACTAAAGAAGCCTAATACTAGTAAGTCATGTGAAGTGGTTATTTATGACAAGAACGGAGTATTTCGCAAGCGGTTTATTCCACAATCTCATGTGAACGCAATGGCTATTTCTAACAAAAATGAAATCCTTCTCGCTGGAGGTAATATCATCTACTTTTACACAATAAAAGGCTCGTTGATTAAGACGGTAAGCCTATCAATGCATAATATTTTTGATATGGCATTTCATTTTGGTCAAGGCAAACTTCTTATTTTGAATTCGTTGAGTCGTGCTATCATTTTTGATACTGACTCCAAGGATGAAAAGGAGCTGATGCAGTCAAATCCTAGTGGATATACTGTACTCAAAGGGCATCCTAGTGGACTTACTTTGTTGGCCCACGGACCTGTGCTCTTCTATAAAGACAGCCATTTGTTTAGAGTTCTATTCATATAACTTTTAAAAATTATAACCTTTTTGCTTAATTTCGAATTTAGACTTAGACAATTAAAATGACAACCATTTTTTGGCACATTCTTTTAAACTTGAATTTATTTCAAGCTGAGAAGAAGACGTTCACGCAAAAGGCGGCCGTATAGAATCTCGTCCTAATAGACTTTTTCATACGAGCATCTGCATTGAAATTGGACTGCTCCCAAAATATTATACATGATTGTTTATTAAAAATCAAACTCTAAACTCTTTCATAGTGTAAGCAACATATTTCTCTCGCATATATGAGTATATATTCATTAAAATCCCGTAAAAAGTGAGTAATCTAATCACCCTTGGAACAGGATTGTCTGGATGAAATTTTCTTGTTGTTTTTTTTTCATATTTTATACGTACAGACAATACGATATTGCAGTTGTAGAATGCTAAACATCAATAAAGATAGAGCAAAATAACAGTGAAATAGTGTAATAATTGTAGAATAAGCGGCCCCGAAATCAGTTTACTTTATTTATAACAATGAGTTATTTAAATATAATCCTTGATTTTGTACCATCAGATAAGACTTTCCGCGCTTTGTTTTTATAGTATACATACCACCAAATTAGAAAAAAAATTAGTGCGCAGAGTTTATTTCAAGTAGGTATTAGGTGTCATCCATTGAAGACGGCTGATCATACTCCGTTGGCATTATACTATTATAAACTCTCAAACGAGAGAGAATCTATACAGATTTGAATGTTTTCTGAATACGTTGGTGAAATTTTTGATCTTGCAGACATTCGAACTGATCTTAATTGGTTTTATCATGTTGATGTACGATGCATGCATATTGTGTAGCAGGCAGAACTAATTTTAGCTACAGTGTGCAACTTAGTGTGAACAATTACATGTATATAATTATGCAACTTTTAAATAATCATTTTTTTCCAATCTTTGTTTCTAAAAACTATTATCCTAAATATTTCTTTAATTTTTATTCACCTTTTCCATATGCTGTGGAAAGAGTTTAAAACGAGTTGGAACAGAGGTCATGGGTTCGAATCCCGTTGAGTCACCTAAATTTTTCAGGTTCATGAAAAAATTGCTTTAATTGTCCAGCAAAGTGCGAAGATCATATCTTCATTTAATTTCAAATAACGCACTGCATATAACATTCTTTCATACTATATTGATTCTCACTACTTTGGGGCTCCGGAAGTAAATTTGCCCGGCTTCAACCACTAGTTATTAAATGTAAGCCGTTGCACTATCCAGTGTATTATGAGATCTGTACAAGCCATATATTCATACCTTAAAACCAAAGGAATCATTTCTGTCGTGAATTACAATCCATCCGATACGCCAGCCTGGCACCAAGACACACAACGTTTATATGGTTTACTCAAAATGACGTAATGCAATAGAAATGCGCATGCTCACCTTTTGGCGATGCCACCGACAACTAGAACAGGAACATTCTTTGTTAAACTCCCCATGCTGTGGAAAGGCTCTTTGGCGAATGTCTGCAGAAAATGAGAAAAAAAGTTAATTTAGTTCAAGCCTTTTTCAGTGTTGCCAAGCCTGATCACTTTCTCGGGCAGTACCAATAAAATTAAGAACCCAACCCCCTGCATATCCAACAACCGTGCCGAATGAGGCCAGTGAAGTCAATATTTATATAACTGGAATGATAACTCAAGCCAAAAATTGAAGCCAAGAAAATATTTGTTGTCATCATTCGTCATCACTCATGTTTCTCGCGTGTTTATAAACAATTTGTATTTTTTCGGATACTAGATCTTTAGTTTGATTATGATAGCTGATTTCATTTTACTAGTCTCTTTTATCTTCTACGTCAGTTTTATCTTCACAAAGAAAACCTTTTGAATTATATTTATTTCAATTCTACATCATCCTCAGTGAAAAAATATTATTATGTTTTTCAAATAAACTAAAAGGATTTGATATGAATTTTTATTCAACAAAATTTACATATAGAATGAAAACATCTTTAATATAGGTACTATATATTTTTGTCATACACAGTCGATCGGCTCTTAAGGTGAGGTTTTCCTTTAAAACATATCAAAGTCTTTAAGGATATTTAATTATTTATATCGAGATGACAACCATTTAGTATTTCAAGCACTATCAAAATCGATGAAAATGACAATCACTTTGTAAAAAGTAAAAATGCGAGTTATAGACTCAATATTTTTTATGAAACTGGATATTCAAGTTTTTTTTTCTTCGTAAAAACAGATCTTTAAATCCTCTGAAATGACAAAAAAAGACAAATACTGTCTGACACCGTTTGAAAATTTACCATCCGATGTAAGAAAAAATTTTTTATTGTATTGTCTTTTTACCATACCGTGTATTTTTCAGTTGGCTTTTCTTCGTTACATGTTGTAAGATACAACGAACTCACTGTAGTAAACTTGGTTAAATCTAGGGCATGGAGAAATTCAAAAGTCATCACGTGACATGCAATTAACGAACACTTACGACATGCGCGTAAACTTCATCACAGAGAACTGGGACGCGGTATTTTTCAGCAACTGTAAGAGAATAAGACCAATATGAATGCAAAAAGTTTGTTGGTTAAATCGGTGGAAAAAACTTGTACATGTCTTAAGATATTTACTGTTTAAAATTTCTTCCAAATGTTCTCTTTTGTACACAGAAACACAGGGATTTGATGGGTTGACAACGACAATAAGCTTTGTTCTCTCGTTAATAAGTGAAGCCATATCGTCCAAGTCGACTTCCCAACCATTTTCAGGCTGAAAATTATAAATAATCATTATTCATTTGAACATAAAGTCCAAATCAACACTCAATGTTAGTTTGTAGGGAATCTTTTGATCACCATTATCATGATTATTAGAACAGTCTTTAATCTTCATTATCATAGTTAGAACTTAATTTTAACAGTCTTTAATCTTAACAGGTAACGTAAACTCAAGATCTTTAACTTGTACAAATTTACAATGAGTTTATAAAATCGTGTCTTAATCTTCCGCGATCCACAGGTGCATTTGTAAAGAGAGAAACCAGGTTTTGGAATTAAGATGTTATCACCACGATCAACCAGGGCGTTCAATGCTATCTCGATTGCTCCAGAGCAACCGCTGGCCAACACAACATCCTGTAAAGTAAGCAACATAAACATAGAAGTATGGGCGTTTTCATAGAATTTTTCATGTTAAAGGCCCGACTCTCTCATTTCTGTCAAAATCAGGTAGAGCTGCTTTCTAAGATCTCCTCCCCTTGATAGACATAGTACATTTTATGTAGGTGCATACATTACTTGCATTCACCCCTCAGTAATTTAAATGGTGAGAATGAAATACTTAAATCTTAAATGTACTGAGCTTAACCCTAACTTTGTTCCTTATTGAAAACTTATTGAGAGGAGGGGGGAGTGGGGTGGTGAGAGAAGTGTATTCAACAAAGATGCTATAACCCTGTGTAAATTAAAAATCGTGGCTTAAGAATATTACTCTCTACAAATGATATAACGAGATGAAACGCAAGAAAACAGCCACATTTTGGTTAACCATTGTCAATGAGATTTATTTTAAAGAAATATAAAATGGAAGGCCAAAACTTGGTGGAGGGGTAAAAAACGGGGAGAGGATGAAAAGATTTTTCTGCCTTCATAAGAAGGAGTCCTTTATGTTAAAGTAGACATCAATAAAGCTGCTTGAACTAAAATTAGAGACGATGGCTTTAAAAAAACGAGCATGTTAACATGAATTTCTCCCAAGTACTCTATCAATATCACTATCAACAATTGTCCCTATAGTTATGGAGCAGGAATATGTACCTCAGCATCCACGATGTATTCAGGTGTTGGACTGTATTTTGCAACGGCATTTTGTGCCTCTTTGCATTCTACAAAAACAAATACAGATGATTGTAAATGACTGGAATAGTGGAACACACACAGTGTGTATCAAAACAACAGCAATCCTTTCATTTGTGAAGCAAACACTGACAATTATCATACCATTCTTTCCACACTCCTCAAATCATAATACAAATTCTAAATTTGTACGTCATGTAAGCTAGAACAAAATTCCACTTTACGTGGTACTATCAATCAATTCCATTACGAATGGTTCATGTAGCCCCAGAGCAACGAATATTTATCATGTTTGGTTACAGTAAGGGAACTTACACTGTTTATTAGTAGACTGTATTGAAAAAGTCTTTGAAGACTACACAAATTTCAGCTACTGTCCAATGCAAAACCCGAACACGAAACTCCTTTAAATTGTGTTCAGCCTCCTAGGGGATAATTTACTGCTGAATAGTGCAAGTTGTAAACATCTTGTGATTTTGAATTCATTCCAAAGTCATCGTCAAAAAATTGGACTATTTTGTGATGTCTAAATGTTGAAGAATTTTATACACCCTTTGTATTACAAAGAGAATCAATCTTTTTGAAAAAGTGTTCTTTAACTGGACTTATTTGTTCCAAAAGGTTAAAATAAAGTCTAACTATTGTTATCATTGTAAAAAAAGAATTGGCAAGAACTATTTTGCACCATTATTTTGCTAGAAGATTCTGCTTACAATCCAGTTTCATTAAATGATATTTGTGAAGATCGATTCCGGGGGAGTGATGCACTATTATTTTGAAGATAAATTTCCCAGGGGGGTTAGGGTCCAGGGGTGATTGAAGCACTCAAAGCAATTGATGTAACTAACCATGAGCTGGCTTGTAGCAGTTGTCCTTTCCTGACTTTATTGCGTCACAGAGCGCCCGAACACATTCCTCACTTGGTGGTAGGTTGCCAAAAACTGTGGGATCACCTGGAATATAAAAAATATTCTCAATGATAAATCAGTCATGCAAGGTTTTTGGAAGATTATCTTGAAACAATTTGACTCCAAAGGGGGTTGCGCCGAACCCAGATAATGCTATTGAAACTTCGTCATCTTTGAATTAACTTTCCAGATTAAATATTAGTTTTTCTTTCAAAAGGTGTATGGAAACTTTGGAAAAAAATACAGTCCATTAGATACCGTCATCCAAAGACCTAGCTGTCGCACGGAGATTTAGAAACATAACTTTCTGTTCGACCGACGATCGAGCAGAGAACGGTTTAGCTAATAAGCTATTTACTAAATCAACATCAGTTGAGCAAATCGCAGTCGCACTTGGAGCCATTGTGTCATACGCAAATACAAAATAATAATTTGAGAGCAAACACAATAGAAAATTAATGCCAACAATGATCTCGTAATTTGATAATCACTAACCACTGTACTTGTATTTAAAGCTAGAATAATTACAGCCTCCGCCAATTTAAAATAGCGGGAGTTCGACCATAGTTCGACTCATTGAGTTCTATAATAACTGAAGGGATTCAATTTACCACGGGTGGAGAGGGAGGCTGAGCCTGCAGGCATTCACCAGTTAGAATAGTAGATTTAAAACACATACAGCAAAAGAACAATAATTAAATATTAATACTCTCTTTGATTAAGGCTAATTTATGCTTCTTACGACATGTGTCACGCGACACTCAGGCTTGTGCAATCTATGGGCACGCGCCATCCGACAATCAAATAAAGCATTTATAGTAAACGCGACAGCCCATGCAACAACCGCGCAAAATCTGCATACAAATTTAAAATTATGTTGACATTTACATCAAGTAGTGCATTGGCAGCATTCTTAATATTCTTTGTGAATCAAATGAATACATTTCTGCTAAAATGTAAGACGAGGAAGAGGTCGAACTTGAGGAAGAAATAATATTGCTGTTGTTGCAACGAAAAAGGAAGCGACATCGTAAAAGAAGATGGTGTGTCCGTCCACTTCATCAGTCAAGAAAAAGTGAGGGAGAGTTTGTGTTGGTTCCACAAATGCGTGCTATTGATGAAGAAATGCATTTCAAATATTTCCGCCTTGTTGAGCTTGCTTACAAAATCAGCCTTTTACTAACCATGCCGGAACTCACTCTAGTCCTTTTATACTGAAGGAGAGACTTGCAGTGACTCTCAAAATTTTGGCGTGTGGTGGATCACAGCAAAGTATTGCAGCCAGCTACCACCTTGGAGCAACGACTGTTTCATGCATTGTTTCCGAAGTATGCAAAGCAATTTGGAATGCATTGAACAGAGAGTTTGTAGGTTGCCCTTCTGGGACCTTGTGGAATGAGATTGCCGTGATTTCTAGAGGTTATGGAACTTTCATAACTGCTTAGCATTGACGGAAAACATGTAGTTATCAGAGCACCCCAGGTGTGTTTAAAGAAAGTCAATTTGGGGACAACCTGCTACATGGGAGATTACAATTGCCATCGCCCCAAGTGTTACCAAACAGCAATATACCTGTTCCTCATGTCTTTGTTGCAGATGGCGCTTTTCCGCTCCATGTTAACATGATGCGACAATATCCAGGTAGGCTTGCACAACAGATACATCAATCACATTTAATTACTTAGTCTACCATTTCTTTATTGTTTGAAAAAAGATGCCACAAACAGACACTGCAAATGCTTCCACCTAGCATTTATGATTTTTCTTGTTAGGCTCTAACCTCACTGAATCAGAGAGAGTTTAAAACTACAGGCACTCCAGAGCAAGAAGAGTTATAGAGAACGCATTTGGAATCTTATCTGCTACATGGAGGATTCTTGGACGACCAATGGAATTTCATCCAAAAAAGGTAGTTGATATTGTGAAAGCATGTGTTGCTCTTCACAACTTCCTCAACAAAACAGATGCCACAAATGCTTCCGCTTATTGATATATTCCATCGAACTTCACTGATACAACCACTGCTTTGCATGCCACACAAAAAGGAGAATGGAGGAAAGTTGTTGCACACGATATTAACTTACTAGATATGAGGCAGCTGTCCAATGCAAGGTTACCTCTGACAAGGGAAAATTCAAGTCAGTCTCACGATGTTTGATAAAGCTAGACAACCACGACAGGCTAATGACAATAGCAGGTATAATTTTCCCGCCAGGATTACCACTCTTCGATTTCAAACGCTTTTTGGCTTTCTTAAATCGGTCCCGTATTTTCTTCCATTTTTGTCTGCAAACAGCATCATTTGTTTCGAGCTTTTCGGCGATTTCCTTCTCTGAATTCGTAGTTTCTTGTAGGTCTTTATAATCCCTTCTAGACGAGTCATATATATGAGGGTATTTCCTAACTTCTTCTGCTAATCTTTCTTCGAATCCATCCATGATTTAATATTTTTCCATATTGTTGCTAATGAGGTGCCAGGCGGGAAACGGATTCTCAATATAAATATTAGAGCCCAACAAATAATTTTAAACATAGTCATAAACAATTTGATTTTATGAAATTTATTGAAAGAGTGACGTTTCGTCTTTTCTCAAGATATCTTCAGACTAATTAGGAAGTTAACATAAATATAGATATATATATATAGAGCTATTTACATAGTTTGAGGTATCAGGTTACTGTGAATGTGTAAGTGTGATGTGATGTATTGTTAGGGTGAGGTGTTGAGACTAGAAAAGCTTAAGAAGAATGGAGCTGCCTTGTGTGTTAAGTGAAGGTTTTAGTTTGGAGATGAAGAGGCTTTCGTGGATCATGAGGTCGAATGTGTCGGAGCAGGATGAGATGATTTTAAAATCGTCTGGCGAAGCAAGGTGGTTGGAGGAGTTACTATGAGAAAGAATACTTGACGTTTATGGGTTAGTATAGCGTTTTCCAGTCAAAAGAGAGATACCCAAGTGTTCCGCGATTCTGGTGTGTAAGTGGCGTGTGGTTTGACCCACATACGACGCGGAACAGCATCGACACGTGTATAAATAAACAACACCAGATCTCAGAGACTTGGGAATTTTATTCTTAACGAGAAAAAATGAAGAGATTCGTGTGTGGGTACGAAAGACGAATCTGAGATTGAGATGAGGGAAAGCAGCGTTGTAGAGATGATTGATTTGTGTGCGGATTTGTAACGAGTGACAGCCGGTAAATGGGAGACAAAAATGCACTACTTTCTTTGGGACACTAAGGAGAGGTGGTTTCTTTTCGAATTTTGTGTCAAGGAAACGACGGACAATGTGGTCGAACATATTAGTTAGATAGCAATTGAAATTGAGTAGTTTTCTGGTTGTTTCAATTTGGGCATGAAGAGTCTCATAACTAGAGCAGAGTTTGATAAAGCGGTGTAATAGGCCAGAGATTAAGTTGCGTTTGTAAGAAAGTGGGATAAAGCTGTGAAAGTTTCCATATTTGTGATAAACATATTCTGAGACAAACACAATTGACCAACCACGTGTGATTAACTAGCCAATTATCTTGCGCGACAATTCGACAAAATGTCTGCGACGTAAAGGCCGATTGATGCTGCGCGCGACGTGTCGCACAGTAGATCTTACGTCATTGCGACTAAAACGGAAGTATATCTTGATGGCGCGTTTGCTTGATGTCGCGTCGCGTGCATTCAAAAATTTTGTAACGTCGCAGACAAGTTGTCGCGTTCTCGCGCGTTGTGATTGGCTGAAAGGCTTCTTTCGGGGGGAAGTTCTTGAGTTGTTTGTCTGAATAATGAATATCCAATTACCAACACAAGACGATAGCAGCAATGGAAGGGTTCGAAGAAAAATTAGCGGAAGTCCGAAAATATGGTCATCTTTACGATTCTTGAGACGAGATTATAAAGATACTGAGAAAACCAATAATTCATGGAATGAAATAGCGAGAAACCTTAACACAAATAAACAAATTTGTCGACAGAAATGGAAAAATTTGAGAGATCGTTACACCAAAGCCAAGAAACGAATGAAGTCTAGAAGTGGAGATGCTGGTGACAAATCTATCCCACCGATATTCCTCAGTCTGTCTTGGTTGTCTGATCATATAAAGCATAGGGACGCTGAAACTAATTTTCGGGAGGTAGTTATAATCACTATTAAAAAAATTGATACAATTGGGACAGGCTGACTGATTGATTAGATTATTATGTTACATCTGTTGTTGTTGTTGTGATTGTAGGAGAACACTGAAGAACCTATAACAACATCAGAATCCCTTCCACTAGGAGAAAATTTTGTTTCGATAAATATGGAGGAGTTTGACCTAGCCGCATGGTCTCCCTCAACAAGTAGAAGCGATTCAAATGTCAGTGAAAATTCGTGTACAACACCTACATTACCTACAACACCTACCACACCAGTAAGTAGTGACCCATTTGCCCTTTCCACAATTGCTTTGAGTAGAGCTGTGGTAAACCCGACCAAGGGCTGTAGAAAGAGATCTGCACATTTAGAGACAGCAGTTTGTGAAAGACTTGATTCTTTGAAAAAGATTGGAGAAGAAAGAGAAACAAAACATGAAAATTAATGAAGAAAGTCGCTTTTCAGATACTGTGGCTGAAGCCTTCTCTCCGAAAGCTTCCAGGCAAGTTGAAATCTGAAGCTAAATTTTCCATTCATAAAATAGTGTTTGAAATGGAACACAAACTTTATGAAAACAATGTAGACCAATAACTTTCTATATTTTATAAGAAACAATCTATTATTTCATACAATTAAATATTAGTTAAGAAAACCTCGTTGTATTACATGATCTTGCCATGGTAGCTTTCCCAGAGGAGACATAAAAAATGATTTAAAGCCATTTCTGGTTGCTGTAGCAGCTCTAGAAGCACGAGCACTTGAAAGTCTTTTAATCTTCTCAAAAATGTTTTGTGAACTCACAACATGTCTCCACTCTCCAGGGAGGACTTCGTGAGATGCAGTGGTTGAATCACTGAAATTGGGAGGGGAATATCTAGTGCTAGGTATATTAGCAGCATCAGTAAATAACACGAAATTGTGAAGTGCAACACATGCCTTCACAATTTGAACAGCTTTCTCAGGGTAAAATTCCATTGGTTTTCCAAGAATTCGCCATCTAGCAGTCATGATACCCAAGGCATTTTCAATTACCCTTCTAGCTCGGGAATGGCGGTAGTTATAAATTTTCTTGGGATTGTCAAGGTTATTACCTTAAGAGTAAATAGAACAAAAATGGCATTAAGATCAACTGTTTTAGCAATTTACTGAGGCTTGGGAAACTCTACCAACAAGCAGCCAGGAAATTTTTTTGATCGCAAATTCTTGTGGGGAATGAAAAAACATTTTGAATGAGTCTTACAGAGACATAAATTGAATAAATTTATTTCATTTCTGAAGTCACAAACAGTTAATATAAATTTTCAAAAATATATGAAATAACAATTTTTTGAATAAACATAAGAAAATTATTTTCATTGAAAAAGGAAAAAATATATAAAAGTGCATGGAGTTAACAAAAGAAAATGTACCTGGGTAAGGTCTCATCATATTAACATGAAGAGGAAAAGCAGCATCACCAACAAATACATAAGGTAATGTAAGTTTACTACCAGGTAAATCCTCTGACAAGGGCAGACCAATTTGTCCATTTAATAGCTGCTCCCCAAATTTGCTTTTGGAAACCCCCATCACTTTGCCTTCCATATGCACCTACATCTACCATTAGAAAGCGATAGCAAGCATCACATACAGCCATTAGTACAAGAGAATGAGTTCCTTTATAATTAAAGTAATCACTTCCAGAAAGAGGAGGTGCTTTGAGTTGCACATGCTTTCCATCTATAGAGCCCAGACAATTTGGGAAGTTCCAAAGCCTACAAAACTCACGCGAAATTTCTGCCCATTGTGAACCAGAAGGAAAGGCAACAAACTATTCATTAAATGCCAACCAGATAGCTACACACACCTCCAACAAAATTAGGGAAACTGTGGTTGATCCTAATCGGTAACTTGAAGCCACAGTTTGTTGTGAGGCGCCAGACGATAGAATTCTTAACGTAACTGCTAGCCTTTCTTTTACACTAACAGGACTTAAATTCGTAGATGCGTGCTTTACATGAGGCAGAATTCGATGTGCCAAGTCGTCGAAACGGGAAGAAGACATACGAAAATACTTAAAATATATTTCTTGGTCTATGCCTCTCATTTGTTGAACAAGAACGTATTCACCGTCACTTTTTCTAGAAGCGTGAAGTGGTCGAACTGACCATCTTCTTCGTTTTCGTTTTTTCTGTTGTAGCAACAAAAGTAAATAGCACAACATTACCTCCTCCTCCAGATCGAGAAGGTCATCCATTCCTCCTCGAACTCGAGTTGCCATGTTTGATCGTGAGAATACCTCATTACTTCATGTTATCCGATTTTGTTGAATACGCGTCGGTAAGCGCGTTAACTATAAACACAGCTTATAGCTGTCTCGCACCTGTCTCGCGCAAATCGAAAATACGCGCGACGCTTGTCGCGCGCAGCATAAATCGGTCTTGAGCGTGGCGTTGAGTAAAAATGGCGAGGCATTTAATCCAAACAATACTCTGCAAAACCTGTAAACAACATCCTCTAAATTAGCATTACTTGCATCTCTAACCCACAGAAATCTTAAATACTCCCTGTCTTCTTTGTCTACTTCTACGTTCAAAAATGCTTTCTCTATGTCTCCTACCAAGGCCACTCTGTTCTCGCTAAATCTAATTAATATATCAAACAACAACGGTGTTAATGATGGTCCTACATGAAGACAGTCATTCAAAGAAGTCACTTTCTTACCCTCCTTTGATGATGCATCATACACTATTCTTAGATTAGTTGTTTTGGCTTCTTTACGTATAACCGCTTGATGGGGGACGATAATGAACATTCATCCCCGGTTCTGACTCGTCAACCCTTTCAATGACTCCCATTTTTAGTTGATCCCTGATAATTTTATCATATTCCTTTAACAAATCAGGCTCATTTGACAAACGCTTAATTTGCCCTTTCATGCGTGCTAAACTATTGGCATAGTTACTTGGTAAATGCCCATGGCCCTGCTTCCACGGCAATTTAACAGAGTACTTATGCCCATTAAACCATTAAACTAAATTTTATCTAACAAGGCTTCGTGCACATCGTCAGTTTCCCTGACTCCAAGTGTTTCTAAATCCCACAACTTGTTCACCTGCCTGTTTATGCTGTTTTTCTGCGTTGCAGTCTGCGAAACTAAATTAACATGTGCATTTTTGATTTTCGAGCTCCCTTTCGGTGGACCGCTTGCCACCCATCCTAAACAAGTGTCAATCGCAACTGGCTCATCCTTTTTTCCCTAATTATTTATCCTTTCTGTAAAGCCCAAAGGTTATTTGCTCCTATCAAAACATCCACTTCCAACATCTCCTGCTTCAAACTTACATCTGGCAAAAACAAATTTTTCAAATGAGAATTCTGCTCATTAGCCACCTCAATATGCTCATTTTTTACCGTACAAATACGTGGAACTACTAATGCCTCTAAACGAATTTTGCAATTACTCCTAACTGGTGCGACCTCGCAATTGACGACCTCTGTCATCTTACCTTCATTTATTCCACCACCAAAAGTGTTGACCTCTAACCATTCCCGCCTTGCTACATTAAGCTTCCCATCTTGTTTTGCCCTGTTTGTCTCGAAAGACTTCTGACTTCCCTAGTCATAAAGCACTCGCACTCTCTTCCTATTCCGACCTACAAGAATTCCTTGCGCAGTCTGCAAGGCTACTCTAGTGTTTGTACTCACATGCACGTTACTCACATTTACCTGCTTTATTTTTTCTGCGCTATCACTCTGTTTGTCAGCCTTCTCTTCGTCCTTTTTTTCTTTGTCACATATAGACACATGATGACCATCCCCAGTTTATCAAGCACTGTATGAAAAGTTCATTCGCATCGCGCGAATTTCGCGATAATGATGTCGATTGCATCGACAATAGTAACGGTGTTACGTGCGTGGTCCCGAAAGAATAACTATTAATTTTGGTTCTATTTCCACACGCAACAAAGATAGTGTGAACCAGTTATATTTCTCAAACTATTTATTAATTAATGCGTAAATATTAAAGTAGATAAGTGTCTTAATAATAATATCAATAAGTATGAGTAAAACTTATCTCCTTTGTCTGAGTTATTATTCTTGAGCGTTCGTGAGTCCAACAATGACTCACAATAGTTTTCCAAAGAGATTAAAGGCACGGAAGCCAAATAATAGTTATGGCACAGAAGCCAAGATAGTTGTCTGGTAGATTGTAGCTTGTCAACCTACTTCGGTAGGTTTTGCCTCCTAAGTTTATCTCCTCGTAGGTTGTACTCGTAGGTTGTACTCAGTGGTCTAAACTACTGATATATATATAATATCCTAATTGGAAGTATTGTGGTTTTGTGACCTACATCCCATACGCAATACAGTATGTTACAGCAAGATATAGTTAACCACAATAACAACAAATGCGGTTGCGGTTCTAAAATATGTTTACGCATGTAAGCAAGCTCCTAGCGCATGCAAGCAAGCTTTTAGATTATATCCTAATTAGTAATATATGAAATTATAATATGATATAACAATGATATTACATGATAGTAGTTGGTATCATGGAACAAACGGTGATTTCTTCGTTAGGAGCACATCAGACAAAACTATATGGTATGAAATCAATCTCAGTGTTCCAAAGTGCAGCTGTGATTCGTGGAGAAAAACGCAATTTCCCTGTAAACAAATGTACGCAATTTTCAATACCTTTGAAGAATGGAATTTCACAGCTTACCCTCAACACTATAGAAACAGCGTTTACATAACATTGGACAATGGCTTGAATCTAGAAGAAAATGAAAAAAAGAGAAAACACGAGGAGACTGATAATGAAAACAAGAACAATGCAGAGATTTCCGAGCATACTTATGACGTAATAGTGCAAGAGGATGAAAGAAGATGTGACACAAAGAAAAACAAAATTAAGACAGAAAAATCTTGCGAACTAAAGGAAACTGCACAAACGCGAAATTTATTGTTGGAGAAGTTGAGCCTTGTTCGAAATCAGGCATTCACCGTCAACGAGCTAAAACCTTTGAAAGAAGCGCTTGACTACGCAAATAAAATGCACAAAATCTTAAATGGAAATTGCCCAGCCAGTGAAGGTTTGCCAATTAGAAATAGTCCAACAAAAAAGCGTTTGAAAGCAACAAGTGTGGAGTATCATCAAGTATTTCATAAAAAATTGCCTCTTCGTTGCAAAAAGAAGAATGCTAATAACTATATCACAACAATGATCCCAGACATAAGTAAAAAGTGCGCTGTATCATCAAACAAGGTGAGATAATTTTCATTTTGGCAACCTCGACTGACGAGCTCTTTTTTACAAATTATAATTTTCACTCACAATTTACGTCCCAGAATGCACTTGAAGAGCCAGTTGAGCAAGAATTGTTGTATGAGAGTGAAACAGAAGAAATCCAGGCATCACAAGAAAGAGCTGAAGTACCGCCAATCAACAACTTGCAACAACAAGAAAGGTCAGTGATTCATTGCAAAACGAGCTGAAATTGTGAATGTATCTTGATGCACTATGTTTTTAAATAATATAGCACCTACACTGATACTTGCAAACAGTTGACATACAATTCATTGTTTCTGACTCCAAGACAACGAATAAATGCATTTACAGAAAGACAGTGTCTTGGGGATACTGTGCTGGAATTTGGTCCTGTGAATGTATCAACAGTAGATCTTTGGTCACTTGTCAGTCCAAAAGATATAACTGAAAAAGAATTAAAAATTATTGAAAAAGAAGTCACCACATTCAAACCTGACTGACTCTGTAAGAGAAAAAGCGTCTAATATAGTCTTCTTATTTATCATTATAAGTAATTGTTTATAACCATGTGTGCTGTGTACACGTAAAACTGGAGAGGAAATCTCTTCAAACTATGCTTTCTTTTGATTTTGGATAATTGATGCTTTTTTGTGGAGTTTGAATATAAACTACACTACTGTTCTTGCAGCAGAATCATTTATTTCAGAGATTGTTAAAAACAACTTAAGCACAAGACGCACATGGGCAATAGATCTTTTCACCAAACCAAAGTTATCCTTTTTCCAATCAATATCCATGGCATTCATTGGAAACTACTGGTAAGTATTTGAGCTAAATAATAAAATATAGACATGCATTATACACATACTTAGCCTACATGAGTCCACAGATTTACATGCAAAACTTAGTAGCTATAGAAACATTAACTCATATAATTCCTTAATTAACAAAGAGAAAATTTTTAACTAAATGCAAAAGTAAATTTGTGTAATATAGGCTATAGATAAGTTCTCAAAAACAAAACTCTACTTTGACTCACTTGGAGGAAGTGCAGACAAAAAGACACCTAATACACAGATGATGTATCATATAAACAAACTAAGGTAATTATCAAACTTGACCTTAAACGATTTGCCCAAAAATCATTTTCAACAATCAATATTATCATTCATGTGGTCATTGTTTGTCACTGCTTCAGTGCTTTGGTAGATGTAAAAAGAGGTTGGAACTTAAGCTCATGACAATGTTTTGAGCCACTCCATTGTAAACAGGAAGATATGTATAACTGTGGTGTGTACATATGCTTGGTAAGCTTAAAATAGCCTAACTTTACTTGAATAGCTATTTTTACAAACATGGTTATTCAACAACTGCTCATTTCGCATCAGTTTTCTCGATGTCTAGCCTTGGCTTGGATCAAAAACCAGCAAACATGCAGACTGAGAGAAAATGAATCCTTTCAAAATTACTTGGGTCTTGCTATGATGATATCACACATAAGGCAAAAATAACATTTGGTTGAACATTTTTATATGGAATTCATTATGAATATCTTAGGAAGCGAAATGTGGCTGTTTGCAATATATGCAGAGAGGATGACAATGAAGACTGGCTGGGTTGTGATCAATGTGGTCAATTTTTTCATGCAAGTTGCCATAATGTTGACTTTGCCATAACCTTGTCAACACATTTTAGATGCAGATAAAATTATTATCAATATTATTTGACATGAAACTAAATCATTGTTATGTTATCAGTGCAAATTGTGCAATTAAAATGAGTGCTTCAAAATATAGTAATGTGTGAATGATAAATACTTTAATTCAAGGTAAAATGAACTGGAAAATTTAATTGATTCGGCACGATTGTGCTTGCCACTAATTGAATCTCAAACATGCTATGAATAGTTTGAAACTGTTGATGAAATGTTACCATAAACAACAAGTTTTACAAATATATCTGAAATAAAATGGCTTATTCTTATTTCTTACCTTTGCGATGATTCTTCTGGACAAAAATTTTCAAAATTCATGTAAATGCGTCTATATGATTACTCTGACACGAAATTCAAACGCAAAAACAAACTTGAATCAAATTTTGAGAGATAGCCGCTCCAGTTATTATAGAACTCAAAGATTGAAATGTACGAGAAAAGGCAGTTGCTAGGTTACAAGACAAATTTTGAGATATTACGATTACGAACCCCCGAATAAAAGCGTGAAAATGAACGAATAAAATATAGTATTGCAAATTGTTTGTGAAATAATATTTATCTCATCTCCAAATAGAATATTTACTATTTATTGGGAAATTTCTACTTATCTTCCGACCGAAAGCATGGCATAAAAAATACATCACTAGACGACGTAATGGTTGAACAAGCACAAGCAGTGCATAAGGTATGAAAATTTGATCTTAAAAGATTTATCCACGAAAAAGATTGGAAATCTTACTCAACTGCTATTTCTCAAATGGACCTACATTTATTGAAGATTACCAAACGTGGTAGGATACAGGGTAAAATTCACTGTTTCTTTTGCTTTCTTTTAAAATGGCGGTGAAATCTCATTGAAAAATTCAAGCATAAGTTAAGAGAAGAAGAAAAGAAGAAAATAAAAAAGATTTAAAGAAAATCCCAATGTGTTTGTCTTTATAAACCTCTAGAGCAATAGAAAATAAAGTCTCGACGTTCGTGCTTATTTTACTCGTGTGAACCAGGCTTAAATATTATTACTTCAGTAATGCAGAAAGTTATTGTGTTCGCGAATGAGAAGTTAATTACAAAATGATTGTCTTCACAACATTTCAAATGTGTAAGATAATTAATAGATTTTTGTAAATGTGGTGGATGGTAAACTGGGAAATATAGTATTTTGCCACTACGAAAAATATTTTAAGTTAAGTAATTTTTACCATGGAAAACTTGTATTTTATTGTTCAATAAACTGCAATGAAATAAGGACAAGAAAAAAGGTATAAACTATCCTCTAAAAACTCGAACATATTTAGATACAAAAGCCATTCATCTATTTTAGAAATTCATCAAAATAGTTAATGATTATATGAACTTTTGAACTATACATTTTAAATTTTACAAATTTGTCCTCCAATGTAGTCCAAACGAACATTGATGAGTTATAACGTTACATAACTTAATGAAATTTCATGTCTTAGACATACTTTTGTCCAAAAGGTAAAACTTCAGCAAAGACTTCCAATCGTGATTTATTCATTGAAGGGAGATATGTCCATGAAGAATTACTTCCCATTTTAAAACACTCCACTGATTTAAGATTTTCATCTTTTTCATTCCCACCTCCCATGACAACAATTGTATCATCTGTTATAACTGCACAACACCCCCGTCTCTTTTCTAACATGGATGGTAAGACTGTAATTTTACCTGTTTTGATGTCATACATGATAACACTGTTCGAGGCTTCTTTTCCATCATCACAACCTCCAAGAAGAACAACTTGATCTCTCCATTGAACTGTTGCCATTTTAGTCAATGGATGAGGTAATGGAGGCATTTCCTTAAATTTAAGAGTCCTTGGATCAAACTCCAAAACACTGGATAAAGCTTTGTTATCTTCTCCCCTTCCTCCAAAAATAAGAACTTTGTCACCAACAACAACAGCTCCATGGTCACACCGTGGTTCAGGCATATGACACAACTCTTTCAAAACATGAGATGTCGTACCTGTAATCTTTATTTCACTGATCATATCTGATGTTCTTTCACGAGCAATGTATCCTCCAATGAGAAAGATTTGTTGTTTACAAACAACAGTTTGATGATACCAACATTCATAAGGAAGCTTTGTGGGGAATTTTCTCCATGTCAAAGGTGACTGTTTTATATTCAATGTGTCCATTGACTTGCAGTCAAATCCTCCAACAATAAATAAATTATCGCTATAAATAAATGATGAAGCAAAGATGTGCATATTTTTCATTGATGCAATCTCAAACCATTTCTTCTCCTTCCATGAAAAAATTTCAGCACTGTAACATTCAGCAACCAAAATATCACTTCTTAATAAATTTATAACTAACTCAACTGGTGATGTCAATATTGGAGCAAAATGTTCATTTGTAGTCATCTTGCCCAAAAGTTCAAACATCATGGTTTTCATTTTTTCCATTTCTTTGGAAGATTCAATCAAATTTTTATACCAAGTCTCGACAGCGAATTCCTTGCGCCAGTCCTGTATTGGATTAAAAATTTTTCCATCTCCAAGTTCAATACTTGGCCAAGTTGATAAATGATCATGATTGTTGTTGATCATCGCAATGAACTGATATAAATGATGGTTGAGAAGAATGACAGACTTGATGTTTTCCATTCTTTGGGATTTTTTGAACATCGCTCTCATGCCACCACCAATAGAAACAGAGAACATTTTACGAACACCGTCCAATTCATGTAGCCTTTTTATATAAGATAAACATAAATCAATGAGATTCTTTCGATTATTCGGACATTCAAAAATTTGTGCCATGATCTTAACTATAACGGCTAATATTCTGTCCTCCAAACTTAAATTTTTGTTGTTGAAAGCTCTTGTTGCTTCTTCACGAGATTTTCTAAATCGATTCTTTGCCAATTCAAAATCCTTTGATTGTTGTATTGCACGGGAAAGATCATACCTGGTGGTGATGGCAGTACAAGTTGCCTGAGACTCATCATTATTACTTGTTTCTTCACGTCTTCTATTACTTTCTACTTCGTCAATGCAATTAAAAAGTAGAAGAAATCCTTCCACCAAGTAGTTCAAACTGGAGGAAAGGTCTTTTTTCGAAAGATTCGCAAGCATTGTTTCGATTTCGTGTAAATCTCGCTTGATAAGTTCCCGAAATCCTTCATTACCAACATCACCGTTTTCTAGCCTGTCTGCTGCAGCATCTTGGGCGTTGTTCGTAAAAAAATGAAATATAGAGAACACTAAGTTTTCCATGGCGTTTTGATGATTTGTACTCGTAGAGCTTGTGTATAAATCTATTGCGTCTCTGTCAAAAACAAAAACATTAGCAAAATTAGCTGTGTTTGCATGAATACTCGATTCAAATAAAATGCTTTATTTCTTTTAAAACTTCAACCAATCATATTAATATATATTAATATGTTTACAGCAACGATTAACAGCATTTTCCACTGATCAGATTTTACCTTGGCAAGAAAATTTTGCAAATTACGAGAGAAAAATAGAAATCGATAAGGACAGAAAAATGAAGGGAATTTTAAACTACGAACAAAATCCAAAAAAAACTTAATGCTCCTGCTATGTTGTTGATTTAACGATAGTTTACCGGCAAATGTTCAAGAGTTACTTTACAACACTTTACATGACACTAAATGACTATTTTCTTGAGAAAACCGCTGAACGCGCGTACTGCATTTTTGTGATTTAGCGATCATTTTTGACAAGCGTGAAACTAAACTGACCGAATGAGATCTTATAAAAACTAGAGCACCATTTCTACAAAATTATCCTAGATCTATCTCTGCAGTAAGGTTTTACAAAGAGTAGACGATATTTATAGTCCACTATTTAGTCTCGTTATTTCATCGATTCTGTATCGTTTGTGTGTGTTTGAAGACATGAAAATTGATGTGTGTAGCGACTTGTAAAGTGTATTTATTAGCTAATATTAAATATGGCTCGAAGTCTACATTATCAAGTGACGAAAGTAAAAAAGCAACAACGAAGGAAATACGTCGAAGGGAGAGCTTTTGAAAGAAAAAGGAAGTTTTTCCAAATTGGGAAAAATAACAATAATGAGGGAAATTCTGTGCGGAAACCGCAACCATTTTTCTGGCTGATTCTGCTTTAGTTTATTAATTTTGCATCTATATTATATATTTTATTTATTGTTACAATAGTTTGTGTCGATCAGTACGTCGTGCTTTAATTTATAAGACTAAACTCACTTTGACCTTTTCAACAGAATTCATTCAATGATATTTAGTGCAGCTAGTGCTCACGTTTTATTGATAACGTTGACAATCTTCAGTTTGTCGAATGACCTTTGCAATGTTAGGGAAATTTTCTATATTTTAAAAAGCAATTTATTCTGCCTCGTAGACTGTCGTTTATGCATCTTCAATCATGCATTTGCAAAGTTCACAAAATACTCAAATTCTGCAGCTTGTGGCATAGGGTGAGTTGGAGACTACAGTGTGACAAAAAGAGTGAGTGGGGGACTACAGAGTGACACATATGATGAGTGGGGGACTACAGTATGACATAGGGTGATTAGGGGACTACAGTGTGACACATAGGGTGAGTGGGAGACTAAAATATGACATATAGTGAGTGGGGGACTACAGTGTGACATCGAGTGAGTGGGGGACTACAGAGAGACACATAGGGTGAGTGGGTTAGTGCAGTGTGGCATAGGGTGAGTAGGGGAGTATAGTTTCTTTGACTTCATCAAACTCAACACTTACAAACACAATGAACCCAACGAAACGAACAAGACAACAACAACAGCAGCAACGATACCTTATATCAAAGGTACGTCTGAGACTATCTCGCGTATCTTTACGACCATACAACAAACGTGTCGCAAATAAACCATTTACAACACTATGACAAGTACAAACAAACGTCAAAGACAAAGAATAATCAAACGAGCGCTAAGGTGTTGTTTACAGAATAAACTGCTCCGATTGCCACGTCTTCTACATCGGTGTGACTGACAGGAACTTAAGCATAAGACTTACTGAGCACAAACAAGAAACAAAGAAACAAGACAAAACTAATCACAGTGCAGAACATCACCAACTGCCAAAACACAGCATTCATTGGGACTCGGTAAAATGCATTACTTACCGCACTGGCTACAGACAATGGAGGGCTTACGTTAGAAAGTTGCTATACCTACTTAGAACAAATCCACTCAACAGATCACAACAATAACCGGCACTTTATTAAAACGATCTATTCACAAACTCAAACATTACTTTCATGATGACAATACACAATTGATACCCACACATTGCCTGTACAGACAATACGATGACGTATGAACAAGACAACAAATACCGCTAACCTGACTCCTCACTTGACTCGATCTAAAGATGACTACCGCTAATTCTGTCGAAACGTCATTTAACATCAACACCTGCAGTCTTTCTCAGGACTCTACTAACCTAAACAATGTACATCTACAAACATGCAACGATACTTCTGGGTTCAAACCATTCACTTTAAACTAATAATGTTTATAAAATAAAGCCATAATGAACGAATAAGGAAGATAAACAACAATTTGCTATGACCAAATGCGGGGGAACCCCTCTTCCTTATACTACTTTCACGCGTATGATAATGAGTAACGCCATATCCAAGAACTAAGTCTTAAGTCTTAAGTCTTAAGAAACTATTTTATTCACCTTCCTCAAATATCTGTTTATCTTTGTATTTATGGATTATTGGTGTCTGAAGTTGCTCACCAAACACAGACCTCTTTCAATCTTCTTGTTGTAAGAGAAATAATGAAAAGTGAAAAAACCCGAATTCGCCCTTCTTTGCAATCACAGATTGAATCATTGAAATAAGTACGACAGCGGAAAACGGTTTTAAGCGAATTGGCGAAATTCACGGGTAATAATAATGAGCAACGCCTAGTCCAAGAACCAATAAAATCTCTTCTCTACTTCTTACACGCGCGGGTATCACGAAAGGAAGAAACACGTGACTAAGTAAGTTAAAAAAGGACATAAGCTCTCGACATAGCTAATTAATATGGCTAAGTAATAAACTTGGCTTTTTCTAAAGAAAAGAGAGAAAATGAGCACTTGTTTTGAACAGTGTTTTTTTGAAGGAATCGGTTTTTGTATTTTTCAACGTTAGAAAATTGTGATTAAAATTGCATGGCAGTAGAAAAATTATGGCCATGTATTTGCTAATTTTTGGTATGACTAAAAGAGTGTGCAAAAAAGGCAGAGGATTGTGGTTTATTGAACTTCATAATGGACTGGAGTATTAACCTTGCCGTACTCATTTTTGACAACATTTTTTTTAAAAATAGTGAGTAAATTTTTACAAGATAAGTGGTCATTGGTTTTTTACTAATAAAATCATACGGTGCAAAGATTTCCAAACTAGCATATTACGATATACAAAAACTTTAAAATGGATTTGTCAGTGAGTCATTAAAGTCATCTACTGTAAAATAATTAAAACTATCACCAAAAATTTGAATGTTCATGCTGCGTCTAAGAATGTGCAATAGGTTCAATTTAATTCACTATGTGCGATATTAATTAGTCACTTTTACTAAAGCTGTATTGTAGAAAAGACCACGACAGAATCTTAAATGTTTAAACTTCCATAGCACTTCATTCAAATTTCAAAGTATTCGTTGGATTTAACGTTATTTTCTTCACTAATTCGTTTCTTTGCATACTGCCAAAATGCAAAGGTGTGCGTAGGGAGAAGGGAGAAGAACATACCAAACATACCAAAAATGTCTCTATTGAAAGGAATCTTATTGCGTACAAATTATCATGTAAAACTAGCATTTAAAATAAGCATCAATGTATTTGAGACATCAATCTTTTGCTATTTTTATTACTTTTTGTCCTTCTGTTGAGTGGTGACAATAAAAGAACGGCATAAGAACGCCTTAGGAAGAGAAAAGTGAATTCAGCAGACCGAATGCACGGAGGAACTAAGTTGCATTCAATCTAAGACAAGTTCCTGACACAAATTAGTACAAAGAAGGTTGGAAGTGAGGGTTGAGGCTTCTCACTCATACGTGATCATCGAGTGTGAATCAGAAATTGTGCTCTTACGTATCAAAGGCAGACTCGTCTATCGACGGTAAGATTTTTGCTAAAATATTTCAAATCAAGTAGTGGAGTGAAAATAATGTCTTGGAATCGTCATGAGATGATTTTGAAGACCCACTCAGCGAGTGTGCTTTTAGAATGGAAGCCTTGTTTAGTCGAGAGACCTTGGCTGGGTATTCAGTATATCTTAAATCTGGAATGCCATTATTTACATATCATATGATACAATGACATAGAAATTGCGACTTATTGACAACAATGTGAATTTGTGAAGAAATATTTAAAATTCAAACAACCGCTGGGGGTAAATAATTTGTTGTTTTAGCTGTATATTATGTTATTTCTCTTATGTAAAAAGTTAACAATGAAGATAGAACAGTAAAAACTAAAAAAATAGATATATATTATCGCATTTCATTCATCGGAAACCGAGCTCTGAGGGGGCTTACTATTTTCAATGAAAATATAGCGTGAACAAATTGAATTATACTAAAGATTGTCATAGATAGTTTTTATATATATGTGTATAATGTAAACATACTTCAAATGTCAATGCTAAAGTCGAGTTATTGTTATGAAAATTTCATCTATGTGCAATGTATTCATCACAAATGAAAATCTCACATTAAAAAGAACTTGAAGAAAAAAAACCGATAAAAGTAGCGATTTTCTAATCAACATTTTACAAAGTGTACCAGATCTATTAAGGCATCTCGTAGAGTTGTCTGATGAACAGGTTTACGATGAGTATATTTATGCAATATTTGCATCATAAAATATATATTTGTTTTGGTCACGCGAGTATACTAAACATACTTCAACTTTTACGGATATGAAATCAGACAGTGTAAATTGTATAAATCATTGATACTTGAATGCATGAAAAGATTTTCAATGTCTACAAAATGTGGTTATAATAAAGTAATGATAATCTTATATAAAATCATGAATGTGTAAAAGGAAGAGAAACGACAATTTAGGCTGACCAAGTGTGTGGGAGTAATTAAGCTCAATCTAGATTCACAAGTTTCTTATAAGACAAGTTCCCGTCAAAATTTATCTAAAACTAGTAGTATTTTCTTAGTTAATTACATTTTTTCTTAATAATGTTGGTTTTTTGGTATGGTGAACAGGGAATCTACTTTATTGTTGAAAGATTTGTATGACGACACAAGAATTAAAAATGCGAATAGATTTCACTAACCCTTGTTTAATACTTATTTTCTTTGTATTTATATAGATGGCATGCGTCTAAAGTCGTTCCCCCAAAGCAGGCTTCTTTTAATGTTCTCTTTTTAAATAAAATGATAAAAAATGAAGACACATGTATTCACCCTTCGCTTCTTGTTTCTGTTTAAACCATTGAAATTAATATGACGATTCACTTTAAACTAATAATGTTGATAAAATAAAGTCATAATGAACGAATAAAGAAGATAAACAACAAGTTGCTCTGACCAAATGCGTCAAATAATTAAAAATTGCTCAATTAAAGACAGTTTCGTGTCGCAAGTTTGCTTTAGTATATACTTGTTACATTGCGTTTTGTCTTTATAATGTTGGGTTTTCACAATAGGGAAAAAAAGCGAATCTATATTATTTATTGAAAATTTATATGACGACATAAGAATTGAGTCATAAGAAACTATTTCATTCACCTTCCTCAAATATCTGTTTGTCTTTGCATTTATGGATTATTGGTGTCTGAAGTTGCTCGCCAAACACAGACCTCTTTCAATTTTCTTGTTGTAACAGAAATAATGAAAAGTGAAAAAACCCGAATTCGCCCTTCTTTGCAATCACAGATTGAATCATTGAAATGAGTACGACAGCGGAAAACGGTTTTAAGCGAATTAGCGAAATTAACACGTATGATAATGAGCAACGCCAAGTCCAAGAGCGAATAAAATCTCTTCTATAATTCTTACACGCGCGGGTATCACGAAATGAAGAAACACGTGACTAAGTAAAAAACAAAGGACATAAACTCTCGACATAGCTAATTGATATGGCTAAGTAATAAACTTGGCTTTTTCTAAAGAAAAGAGAGACAATAAGCACTTGTTTTGGACAGTGTTTTTATGAAGGAATCGGTTTTTGTATTTTACAGCATTACAAAATTGTGAGGAAAATTACCTGGCAGTAGAAAAATTATGGCCATGTATTAGCTAATTTTTAGTATGACTAAAGGAGTGCGCAAATAAGGTAGGGGATTATGGTTTATTGAACTTCATAATGGACTGGAGTACTAACTTTGCCGTACGATATAAAAAAACCTTAAGATGGCTTTCTCAGTCATTAACGGTAACATAATTAAAAACCACCAAAAATTTTAATGTTCATGCTGCGTCTAAGAATGTGCAATAGGTTCAATTTAATTCACTATGTAAGATATTAAGTAGTCACTTTTACTAAAGAAGTATTCTAGAAAAGATCACGACAGAATCTTAAATGTTTAAACTTCCATAGCACATCATTCAAATTTCAAAGTATTCGTTGGATTTAACGTTATTTTCTTCACTATTCGTTTGTGTGCATATTGCCAAAATGCGAAGGCGTGCGTAGGGAGAAGGGAGAAGAACATACCAAACATACCAAAAATGTCTCTATTGAAAGGAATCTTATTGCGAACAAATTATTATGTAAAACTAGCATTTAAATTAAACATCAATGTTTTTGTGGTATCAATCTTTTGCCTTGCTATTTTTATTACTTTTTGTCCTACTGGTGAGGGGTTACATTAGAAGAACGGCATAAGAAAGCCTTAGGTAGAGAAACGAGAATTCAGCAGACCGAATGCATGGAGGAATTAAGTTGAACTCAATCTAAGACATATTCCTGACACAAGTTAATCCAAAGAAGGTTGGAAGTGAGGGTTGAGGCTTCTCACTCATACGTGCTCATCGAGTGTGAATTAGAAATTGTGCTCTTACGTATCAACGGCAGACTCGTCTATCGGCGGTAAGATTTTTGCTAAAATATTTCAAATCAAGTAGTTGAGTGAAAATAATGTCTTGGAATAGTCATGAGATGATTTTGAAGACCCACTCAGCGAGTGTGCTTTTAGAATGGAAGCTTTGTTTAGTCGAGAGACCTTGGCTGGGTATTCAGTATATCTTAAATCTGGAATGCCATTATTTACATATCATATGATACAATGACATAGAAATTGCGACTTATTGACAACAATGTGAATTTGTGAAGAAATATTTAAAATTCAAACAACCGCTGGGGGTAAATAATTTCTTGTTTTAGCTGTATATTATGTTATTTCTCTTATGTAATGAGTTAACAATGAAGATAGAACAGTGAAAACATTTATTGGCATTTCATTCATCAGAAACCGAGTTATGAGCGGGCTTAGTATTTTCAATGAAAAAAAGTGAACAAAATATAACCATACTTCAAATGTCGATGCTAAAGTCGAGTGATTGTTATGAAATTTTCAACTATGTGCAATGTATTCACTACAAATGAAAATCTCACATTGAAAAGAACTTGAAGATAATAAAAACGACGAAAATAGCGATTTCTAATCAACATTTTACAAAGTGTACCAGACCTAATAAAGCATCTGGTAGAGTTGTCTGATGAGCTGGTTTACGATGTGTATATTTATGCAATATTTGCATCACAAAATATATATTTGTTTTGGTCACGCTAGCATACTAAACATACTTCAACTTTTATGGAAATGAAATCAGACAGTGTAAATTGTATAAATCATTGATACTTGAATGCATGAAAAGATTTTCAATGTCTACAAAATATGGTTAAAATAAAGTAATGATAATCTTATATAACATCATGAATGTGTAAAAGGAAGAGAAACGACAATTTGGGCTGACCAAGTGTGTGGGAGTAATTAGGCTCAATCTAGATTCACAAGTTTCTTATAAGACAAGTTCTCGTTAAAATTTATCTAAAACTGTTAGTATTTTCTTTGTTAATTACATTTTTTCTTAATAATGTTGGTTTTTTGGTATGGTGAACAGGGAATCTGTTTTATTGATGAAAGGTTTCTATGACGACACAAGAATTAAAAATGTGAAAAGATTTCACTAACCTTCGTTTAAATACACATTTAATATAAACGACAAGATTTTTGAGAATAGACATGTTTCAACATCCCATGATGCCATCTTCAGTATGAGTGATAATAGGTGATACAAGGTTTATATAAAAGTAATATGATACATAAATTACAACAATAAAAAGGAAATAAGATAAATTGATGGGGAGCGTCCGAGCGTATTATACACTATATATTGTATTGAATTTAAAATCTTGAACATTGAGGTCCGGGTTAGTTCTGTTAATGTGGAATGAATGAGGTGTTGGCTGTGTCGAGGATTTTGAAGCAAGAGGGTGAATAGTTGCTTTTACATGAATGAGATTTAAGGTGTCGGTAGATATGAGACTTTTTGTCTGTTGTGGTATGTTCCTTTATTTTAGTGGATAAATGGCGCGAAATTTCGCCAATGTATCGGGAATTACATCGCGCAATTGAATTCATATACCACCATAGCTGCAATTGAATCAGGGATTGGGTCTTTGAATGAGAAAAGGTTTTTGATTTTGAATGATGTGAAAATTAGTCGAATGTCAATATCTGTACAGAAGCGTTTCATAATGTTTGAAAGTCTGCGTTGTGTGGCACACATGGGATAATAAATATCGGGATACATTGGCGAAACTTCACGCCATTTATCCACCAGAATCACCCGTTTCACCAATTCTAAAACGCTTAAAGCGTTAGTTCTAATTTTTAGAAATGCGTTACGAAGCGTCAATAAAATGTATTCTGCGCATTCTGATGTATGGGATTCACGAATTTATGAAATACTTTATTTAGTCATCTTTATTTTCCTGTTCTGTGATCTGGCTATGGCGGAAAACGTTCGACGTTCAGCATCTTATGATATTTTAAATGACGAACAAAAAAAGATCTTGAAGGATTATTATGATCGAGGAATGATTTCAACAGCAGCTAGTGTGAGGGATGTCATCCAAAAAGCTGCGAACCAAGCTAATAACACGTTTGAAAGAGTTATGTTAAACAGAATGCACGAGTTTATATTTTTTACCCGCGCTTTCTTTTTCATTAGCAACGAGTGATCTTCGCCAGTATTTTTTGATCTGATGGGTTTAGTTATTGTTGCTGTAACTGAAATTAAATATAGTGTGCATTTTATATCTTCTAATTATACTCTTAACTTATATAATAGACAGTTTACAAGATGTCAGAGATATATAAACAGATATACTTAGGATTTTCCCTTTATTGGGGAGAGCATGGTTTATTTTCTGACTGTACCACAATACCAGTGTGTTTATATTTAGTATTGCTTGACAATTGAAAATTGCAACGTTTGCTGACGATGTTTGTAAAATTTATTCTACTGTTAAAATTTTAACTTGGCCTATTAAACGTATAATTATTATATTTTTATACTCACACTTGTTTTTACTATGTACTATAAAAAACAAGCTTGTTTTTATTTTTATTCAACCCTCTCGAGCTTTTTATCTTTCTCTGTTGTAAGATGTAATATGTATGTACCACTGGTTACTATATCTTTTTGCATTAAATCGATCTGTAGTTTTCTTCAATAATGCAATTTCTCCTTTATAAAAGTAATAAGATCATAGTATTTACATACATATACTCATTTCATAATATTCATATCATAGTCATGCACAATAAGAGCAGGAGCAGGGTGAAATATTTAATCTTTTGTAAAGTGCCTTTCTATGAAAGATTAAGTAAACCAAGAAAACCAAGTTTTTCTATGTTTTAAGGCCCATTTCCACTTCATTGGCAATTCGCAAATCACATGCGATTTTTTGCAAATTGCGACGTGCGTACACATGCGAATTCAATACACACTTATCACGATCATCAACGCTGTTCGCACAATTGTCTATTGTTTAATTGACCAATAACATGGCAGTTTTTTGCAGAAGAAAACTTTTAATATTATTGTTATTACGAAAAAGGTATCAAAAAAGGAAGGCAAAATACAGAAAACGATTTTGGGTCCGACCTATTCTCCAAAAAAGAAAAGAGCAAGGAGAGTATGCCAATCTGGTCAGAGAAATGCAACTAGGAGACAACGAAAGTTTCTTTAAATATTTTCGTATGTCACCGATTGTATTTGAGAAATTGTTGCAGTTAGTTACCCCATTGATTATTAAGTGTAACCGGGAAGCCATTTCGCCGGCAGAACGGCTATCAGTAACCCTAAGATATCTTGCAACTGGGGATTCTCATCAAACCATATCTTTTAGTTATCGGTTGGGGCATTCTACAGTCAACAAGATTGTCCCAGAGACATGTTTAGCAATATGGAAGGCACTATCTCCTATCTATGTCCAATGTCCTTCAACAACAAACGAATGGGAAGATGTGGCGAAAAAATTTTGGGAGAAGTGGAATTTTCCATTGTGTATTGGGGCACTAGATGGCAAACATGTAAGATGCCACTGTCCTGCCAACACTGGTTCATTGTACTTTAATTTTCATGGTTGGTTCAGTGTTGCTTTGATGGCTGTTTGCAGTGCACATTATTCCTATTTGCTAGTGAATATAGGTGCTATTTGTAGTTCAAGCGATGGTGGTATATTTGAACGGTGTGGAATGAAAGATGCCCTCTATAATGGAAGGTTATCTTTACCAGAAGACTGCAATTTGCCCAACACAAACACCACATATTCTTATGTAATAACTGCAGATGATGCCTTTCCATTAGGACGTCATGTTATGAAGCCATATGGTGGACGGTATTTGGAACATGGCAAAAGAATTTTTAATTACAGATTATCGAGGGCAAGACGAGTTAGTGAAAATACATTTGGCATTTCAACTGCAAGATGGCGCATTTTCAAGCGACCAATCAATGCTATACCTGAGCGTTGCATTGGTATCGTCAAAGCTGTGGTAGCCTTACATAATTTCTTAATGTTCTATGAATCAACATTGCCCAGACATGAGCGAAGAAATTGCCCACCGGGATTTGTAGATTCTGAAGACAAAAATGCAGATATTGTGCCAGGAGCTTGGAGAGAAGATGTTAATAAGGATACAGGCTATCAATCCTTAACCCAAACAAAAAATGGTAATGCCTGCAAGAAAAGTGCTAAAGAAATCCGAGAGATTTTCAAGAACCTTTTCAATTCACCTGCTGGTGCAGTACCTTGGCAAAATGTGTACATAAATAAATGATGTTTGTTAATGTTGAGTATTTAAAGCTAAAGACCAGAACCAAAATGTTTCCAATCTTGTAAAAAACACTTAACACACAGATACTGTAAATTTGTCAAAACTACAAACTTTGTTTCTAGCTGTTTAGTTTGATTGTTTTTTCTTACACAAACAGTCAAAAAGAACTGCCCACTAGTAAAAATAGTTTATCAGGGGTATTGTTGTCACAAAAGGCCAAAACATTACATGAAATTTCCGAGAAAAAAATAATAGTATATTCAATAGCAAGTGGATCCAGCTCTTTGGTAATTGCTATCTATTCAACATTACTAAACAAAACCTGAGCAGTTCTTTTTGACTGTATGTGTATAAGCTTTGAATTTGCCTTTATATGGAGCAGTCAAAACTTTCAAGTACATGTTTTGCACATTTACATGCCAAGACTTAACTAGAATACTCCTGCTAGCAGGAGCAATTCAGAAGAAATCATTGATCTTCAAAACTGGACTCAAACTCTGCCTGAAAAAGTAGCTGCTGAATTTGGCATTTTATTAATGCTTTCTTTTTATGCTCCAGTCTTCTTAGTTGCGGAATCAAGCATTTCATGAGCAGACTATCCTCATCATCATCCTTATCTTTGTTTAGTTCAGATAAAATCGCCAAATCTACTTGGTTGAGTGATTCATCCCTTTTCCTTCTTTTACCAGAGAAATTTGGTGCTTTAGAGATTTCAGTATTACTAACGGCACTTGCTGATGAAGAGCAAGCTGGGCTGTTTGGCTTTGGATCATCTAAAGTTAGGGACAAGTCAGATATGTCCGCCTCAGTGTCGTTTGACAGCAAGCCTATCCGGCGACTTTCCTCCTCATTTATCGTCAAGAAATTAGAAGATGTTGGCGTCTCAACGATGCTAAATTTTTTCATGAAACTCATTTGACTCATCCATTGCCAAGTAGCTTTCTTTGTACCACCAGAATCACCAGATTTTGGTATCAACAACTTCAACTTTTTCCTATACGTGTCTTTTAGATCGCGCCATTTTGCTTTAATACTCGATGCTTTTCCTTCCAGACTACACTCACTTGCTATTTTTAACCATGCTGACTCCTGCATATTTTTGTTCTTGTAATTTGCATTGCTAGTATCCCAAACGACTTTGTTTGAACGAACATTTTCAATCAAGGCTTCAACTAATTCTGGCGTCCATTCTATCTTTCCAGTCGCCGCCATTTTGGTTTGTTGCTGTCTTTTTCTGATTGGTTGCCCACGCAGGTTCGCATGCGAACTTGTCAAATTCGCAACGCGAAAGTTCGCATGCGACTTGCGAACGTTCGCAAGCGAATTGAAAACAAAGGATCGCATGCGATTTGCGAATTGTGAATGAAGTGGAAATGGGCCTTTAGGCAGGTAACTACTAATTGTCATAAACTTTTAACAAGCTATTGCACTGTTATGGGTTATTTTTTTGAGGGGGAGAGATGGGGAAACACTCCCAAAATGTCCCTTAAACATAAAATGCACTGTTTGATATCACACACCTTTTCAAGTTCTATAAATAAAGACCAATGTGGGAGAATAATTGGGAGGGGGGGGGGGCAGTACCCCCTTGTTGGCAACACAGAATGAAGGTACACATTTATTTCCTTTTACACAGTTGAAATGAGTACATACCCCCAATGTAAAGAGGAACACTTTGTCCATATTTTTAGAGCATCGCAGAATTTTCGAAGTGAAACGTGACATTCAAGAAGTAAGGTTTTAGCCAACTCCATCATCTTAAAATGAAAAGCTAAAGAGGGACGAGTAGCACTGCCAGGCCAAAGTTTCAATCTTATTAACGTTACTGAATCTTTTTCACACTCACAAAACAGAATTTGTTTCTGATGTTGCCGGGCTAATTGAAAAAATACACTGCAAATTCTGGTTATGATCATCATCAGCATCATAATGAAACATACAAAGATCACAAAGAAAGAGGGTAGGTGGTAATTGAACATGAGCTTTGCAATAAAATTTAGAATTTACCATGAAGCTAGTATTTAAAGAAAAAATATTGATTTAAAAAATGAGCATGCAAAGACCTTATGTATCAAGAAATTTCTAAGGTTGATAAATCATCAATCATTCAGTGACTATATCTAAGCTAGTAAACAAACCATATTGGTCAATGCAAATGACATTTCTTGCTTGAGCACTATGGCAAGATTTCTGATACCTTGCTCCAAGAATACCATGATTGGAAAAGTAAGGTAATGTATACCCATCCTAAAAACATAATGCAAGCTATGTTTCAATAGCAGTTCATATAAATGTATGATACAATGACCATGATGACATGAATTGAAATCAACGTTTGATCACCAAACTTATACACCACAAAACGTCTTCATAACTGAATTTATCTTTATTCTTTCCATCCATACCTTAAACCGTTCAAGCACATGGACGTAGTTGCTTGTTTCGTGAGTGCTGTCAGCACAACCTTTGCAAAAATATTTTTCGTGTGCGCATTTGTTACAACGAAATTCTACCCCAATCACACCACATTCAGAGCATTTTTCTTCGTTAAGAAAAACTTCTTCTTCAATTCTTCCGTTTAACAAAGACTCTCGTATGGTTTGCCAGCCTTGAAATTCCTTTTCCCGTCTGTTCTGATAGTTTGTTGCATAAGTATGCTCTTCATCACAGTGACCTTCACTTTCATCAAACTCATACAAATTATGTCGTTCTATCGCACTAGAAGGGACATTTGTTGACTTTAATTCATTTGAAATATGATTTGAAGCTTTCAGAGCAATATTCTTCGTGATTTTTTTGCCACTCGTAGAGATAGATCGAACGCGAAGTTTGCAAGGTTTGAATCGCTTTGAGGGGGAGTAGCCATTTTGAACCAAATGTACGGAGCTGCACGGAGCTACACATTATCTAAAGAAACTGGAACCTAGTGTAACATATCTTGTAGAATGCGCGAACGTTTAAGCCTTTTAGAATTGGTGAAACGGGTGAAGAGACAGTTTGGGGTCCACCGCCGAAACCAGCATAAATGATTCAAATACAGCGTCTACGTCTGAAATGGAAATTGGTAAACGCAGCAGACCATCGACATCTAGAACCAGAAGATACGACTCAAACACACCGTCCACATCCGACAATGAAAATGGAAGAACAAGCACATCACGTGACGTAAATGCAAACACCACGCAAAACTCACCCTTTGAGTGTGGTGGCACAACACCTGACGGACCTGACACAAAATCAACATATGGTGCTGAATCAACAAATTAAGATGATAGTGGCATTAATCTGGAAGGTAAATACACTGATAAAAACTATTATGCTAAATATTCTTCTACGTGTCTCATATCTAAAATTTTTTATCATACTAACATTTTGTTTTTATACTGTCGTATTAATGGAGCTGGGAGTAGTGGACAGAATGGATGTTTTAAACACAGTTAGTGCATCAAAGAAAAAGAGATGCAAGCAAATAGGGAGCGAACTAGACATGTTTGAAACCAAAAAGTTTAAGAACAAAGGTATATAATTAAAAAAGTATTGTGTTTTGTGTGACGTGTTGAGAATAGTATGGTTATGAAAAATATAACTTCTCACCGTATAAATTAGCTATCCTGCCATGAGATTACCTAATTGGCTAGCAAAACAAAATATGTGACAGTTTGCCTTCATCATTCATTATATGAAATATGATGACAAGGCAGAAGTTCTCTAAGAAATCAACAAGCATATCTCTAAACAATTGGTTTTTTGCTCGTTGCAGCCAAATACAAGTATTTCTATTGCAAAAAGGTTTGAAAAATTATGATTCGTTTTTTAGAATAAAGGTATACTTTTGATCATAATATACTATCATACTTTTCACACTTCATTAGGAAATGTCAAAGGACGAAGAAGACGAAATGATTGTTTGCGAAAACAGAAAAAGAAAAGCAAGAAAGGTTCAATATTTTTTATCGTTTTATTAATTGATTCGCCTCCTGCTCCTTTTGTAAAGCCAGGCTTTATATCAATAAAAAATACAAAGCGTTTGCAGATAAAATATTGGATTTGTTTAGTAGATGTACCATGTATAGTATTCTTTTAATTTTATTGTCCAGGAAACAAGTATTACCACATGGTCTGTTTGAAACTTAAAGTTGTACCAGACACCGATCCTTGGTAACAGAATTAGACATTAGTTACGTATAGTGAAAGACAGTATTCAAACTGATGGATTGAATGTGATTTCTTTTTAAGGTTCTGTCCTAGTTGCCGAGGAACTAACAGCAAGTGATCAGTAACTGGCAGATATGTACATAATTTAATTGAACGCTTAATAAAACTTGATTTTGGAATACTAATGATGTGTGTTTCTATTTAATATAACTTGGTAAAAAAACTAAGAATTGTGATGAAGTTGTTCAAAGGAATGCACTTCAACACAACAGACTATACCTCAAAGCCCAATTAAGATGAGACAACTCGATTAATTGACGATACCTTACTTGGGGGGGGGGGGAGGATTTCAAATGAACATACTGAATATTCAAAACAGGTTAATCAAAACGCGATGTCAAGTGATAAAACTTTAAAGTTATGAAAATAGAATTAACCACAAAACTCAAAATATTAAAAACGACTAATATTCGATTGTTAAGAAATATGCGTTAACTCAAAAGTGAATGATGTTAGCTTTCTGTCATATGAACGAGGGGTAAAAGGGTTTTTTACCACTCTTGTAGCATCTAATAGTGTATTTGTTTCATAGCACGCAGTATTTTCTTGAATCTAGTAAGCCCGACAAAAGTCTATTCGAGCCAATGATTCAAGCAGTCAAAGACATTCTGTTTCCATTGGTCTATGTGGGGTTTCATTTTGGGAAGGCAGTGTTGACTATTGGTGTTCAGTTGCCAAATGGTAATTTAAGTTCATAGATTAGTGAACTTTTGACGAACACTGAAATATAGTTTAGTGAGTTTCTTTTAAATTTTACGAAATTTTTAATAAAAAAAGTATTCAATTCTAACGACTGGACTGTAATACCTCGACAATGGTCCAAAATCATTGAAAATTTCTGAGTTAATCAGACGTGTTCCAGCATTTCCAATGTCAAAAGTTAATATAAAACTTTTGACATAAGAGAGCATGAACATTTCATCTAGTTGAAGAAAGGCAGGAGACTGTAGTTTCCCATCTTTATGATTTCTGATAATAAATATGTCAATTATTTTATTAATTTATTGCAATGCTTATTTCATGACAAGACATAACGACACACAAGTGTGGTTCTGTGATCAGTCACAATATTGTATTCTCATGTGATGCGCTATTACAGTCCATTGTAATGTAATGCGATACATTGTAATGTTGTTATACATTGCAATAATAAAGATGATGCGTTGTTATACATTGTGATAAATTGCGATGCATTTTGATGTAGTATGATACATTGTGATGGATTGTGATACATTGTGATGGAGTGTGATGCATTGTGATGAAGTGTGATACATTGTGATGCATTGTGGTGTAGTGTGATGGATTGTGATGCATTGTGATGTAGTGTGATGCATTGTGATGCATTGTGATGCATTGTGATACATTGTGATGTAGTGTGATGGATTGTGATACATTGTGATGTAGTGTGAGACATTGTAATACATTGTGATGTAGTGTGATGCATTGTGATGCATTGTGATGTAGTGTGATGTAGTGTGATGCATTGTGATGCATTGTGATGTAGTGTGATGTAGTGTGATGATGTGATTGTGATGCATTGTGGATGTGATAATAGTGTGATGTGATGCATTGTGAGTAGATGGTGATGTGATGCAAGTGTGATGGAGTGTGATGCAATAGATACCATGTGATGTGTGTGATGCATTGTGATGTGTGATCAGACATGTGATACAGTGTGATGCATTGTGATACATTGTGATGTAGTGTGATGATTGTGATACATTGTGATGTAGTGTGATGAGTGTGATGCATTGTGATGTAGTGTGGATGTGTGATGCATAGATGAATGTGATGTAGTGTGATGCACATGATGTGATGAGTGTGATGCATTGTGATGCATTGTGATGTAGTGTGATGTAGTGTGACACATTGTGATGTAGTGTGATGTAGTGTGTTGTGCTGTGATGCATTGTGATAACAAACGATGATGACCGCTGTAGTGTGACGTTACGTAATGCATCGCAAACTTTTATACTGTTTAGCAAAAAAATATATCGTGCATGGTATATTCTTTGTAGTATGATATCAATAGGATGTTTTGTTATCCGATTCAAACATTAATGACAGAAGTTATACATACAGAAGTTTTAATAAGCTAATCCAGAGAAATGACAAGTAAACATTAGTCACATCATGTCGGGCAAACATGCCTATTTTTCAGAACAGGAGTCTTCAGAAAGTGACCAGTTGTACACATGAACCGTTTAACTTGTTCAAATGTACAATATGGGCACAATTTTACTACTGCATCATGTTTAGCTTAATGAAGTGTTTGTTTGAATCTGACTCTGAAACTTCATGTAATATCAATCTAATTGACTTGACAGAAACATTTTTCTGAAAACAAGAGCACATCATCTTCTTGGGTGATTGCTGAGTTTGAAAAAGGCAGAGGTGTCTACTTTACTCTCCAGGAAGCATAGTGAGTCACTACTTAGTTTAAAACAATGTGAGGTGTAACCTTTACTCTTCATGAAAGAAAAGTAATGAGATATCTTAATCTCATCACACTACATCACACGTTTCTATCAAGCTTATATCAAATATTCATATAATAATTTGTAAAAACGAAAGATTGATGTAATTGTTAACACCAGTCATATGCTCTGGTACAATGTTTATTGCTTTTTTAAAATGCGTGTTTAGAATAGAAAGAGTTCTCGTGAAGATATTAATATATTTTGAATACCTCAATATGTGGGTGGCGTGAACGTAATGCGTCATTGAATCACACAAAATTTAATTGCTTATTGCGTACATTTAAAAGAATTTTTATTTTTGCTTTATATTGTAACTAACCGCATAAAATGTCGTAAATATATCACGGCATACGCCAAAAATTACTTTAATATTACTTTGCTATATATATATATATATAAGTTTGAAAATTTGTAATCCAGGCATTGAATATATAAAAGATAATCTTATATATATATATATAATTGAAAATAAAATAATAAACCCCGAATTACTTCATCGAAACTTTATTTTATTTTCAATTATACTGCTCTGCCGTGGCATTGAGCACTCTATCCGTACGATTTTGTTTGCGATAGTTTCTATCACAAAATCCCATTATATATATATATATATATATATTTGATTGCGTAGAGAGTCTCATAAAGAGACGTTCACCGCTTTCGCTTTATGCAAAGCTCACCTTTATAGGTTTGAGCGCTCTGGTGACTCTACGATACAATCCATACAATGTGTAACCGTACGTCCTGTGTCCCAAGTGCAGGAGTCACCATTTTACTATGGTGATAGCCGGGAGGGCACATTGTTATACATTTTTATATATATATATATAATATATATATTTGAAAATTGGTAACCCAGGCATATAAAAAAAAAAAAAAAAAAAAAAATAAAATAAAACAATCCAGAGAATCCTTATCATTATCATATATAATATATATATATTTGAAAATTGGTAACCCAGGCATATTATGATAATGATAAGGATTCTCTGGATTTGTTTTAAATTTTTTATTAAGCTTTCAACTCGGTGCTTCGAGCCTTCGTCAGAATGTGACAATATATTATTTACAAAGATTTTGTAGGCGTTTGGAGCGTCTGATTGGTTGGTTAGTAGTTGAGTTGATATTATTGGATGGTATAAGATGCGTTGTCATCGTTTCAGGTGTATCGATTACGTTAATGAAATTCGAGTGTTTTATTTTAGTCGTTGTGTTATTAGGTTGTTGTTTTGGTTTTGTCTTTAGTTGTGAATAGTTTTCGAAAATTATAAAACCAGTGATGCTCCTTAACCGTAAATTGTATGACTTCATTGCGAGTATCAAAGACTATAATAGTCATGTATTGAGTTGGCCAACTATTAAACTTGGGAAGGACTGTTGTTTAACCCCATATGAGACTGGCGAAAGATCTCCACCACAAATTCTTGGGGTGAAGAGTTGATTGCATCTCCTAACGAATTCGAATTTGTTTTTTTTATCGGACCACATTTGCGACGTATTATGAGTTGGGATGTTAACAGTCGTGGTGAAATCGTAAGTGGTATTAATAACGTAATTAGTCTTCATAAGCCATATGTTAATTTAGAAAAGCGAGGTTTTAAACTTGATGACGTTTATCATAAATATCCAAATAATGACAATACGTGGATCAGTGCTTTATCAGTGGATCAAGAGGATAACGTGTACGCAATACGAATGGTTGCTTATTTTGATAAAGAAAGATTTGAGAAGTCTTTTCATATTTTTGATAAAAATCAATCCATGAAACATCAAGTGAACATTCAGTATAGTGTGGACACTCGGGGTTGTAGCTCTCCCTGTATAGACAATCCTGATCATTGTTTGAAAATCTTTAACAATAATGTTGTGCTGCTCGAGTCTCTAGTCAAGCGTAATGGTTACCCTTGGTCAGGTGAAGTGTTTATTCATGACAAGAACGGAGTATTTCGCAAGCGATTTATTGCACAATCTTATGTGGAAACATTGGCTATTTCAAACAAAAATGAAATCTTTCTAGCTGGATGTAGTTCTATCTACGTTTACACGATGGAAGGCTCGTTGATTAAGACAGTAACACTATCAATGCAAGAGATTTATGATATAGCATTTCATTTTGGTCAACGCAAACTTCTTATTTCGAGTTGGCCACGTCGTGCTATCATTTATGATCTTGACTCCGGGGATGAAAAGGAGCTGATGCAGGAATATCCTATTAGATATACTGTAGTCAAAGTGCATCCTGGTGGACCTACTTTCTTGGCCCAAGGGCCTAAGCGCATCTTTAAACCCCAGGATTTGTATAAAGTTCTATTCATATAACTTTAAAAATTTTAACCTTCATTTTTACACATTTAAAATGAGAACCACTATTTTTGCATATTCTTTTAAACTTGAATTCATTTTAAGCTGAGAAGAAGACGTTCACGCCTTAGATCATGCAAAAGGCGGCCGTATCAAATCTTGTCCTAATAGACTTTTTCATAGGAGCATCTGCATTGAAATTGGACTGCTCCCGAATATTATACATGATTGTTTATTAAAAATCAAACTCTAAACTGTTTCATAGTGTAAGCAACATATTTCTCTCGCATATATGAATATATATTCATTAAAATCCCGTAAAAAGTGAGTGATCTAATCACCCTTGGAACAGGATTGTCTGGATGTAATTTTCTTGTTGTTTTTTTTATATTTTATACGTACAGACAATACGATATTGCAGTTGTAGAATGCTAAACATCAATAAAGATAGAGCAAAATAACAGTGAAATAGTGTAATAATTGTAGAATAAGGGGCCCTGAAATCAGTTTACTTTACTTATAAAAATGAATTATTTAATTAAAATCCTTGATTTTATTCATAGCTAAGAGTTGCACCAATGACCTGTATATTAATTACGGGAAATCAATAGATATTATAAATAATACTAGAGGTGAAAAAATTGGGCGACGAAAAGTTGGGGGGAGGGGGAGGGGGGTTAGGTCCCAGTATCTTGTTTCGTGAAGAGGCTTAGTAAAGACAAAGAACCCAAAAATTATTTTGCCATCTTCCTTTGAGATTCGGGCTCGCTCTCGCTCTTCACTGTTGTACGTGTTTTTGCTCTTCTTTCTTAACATAGAGAAATTTTATCCATTTTTGGATTTTTAAATTTACACGTTTTTTTTGGCGAGCTACCAGCGTTTTTTACCATCAGATAAGGCTTTCCGCGCTTTGTTTTTATAGTATACATACGACCAAATTAGAAAAAAATTAGTGTGCAGAATTTATTTCAAGTAGGTATTAGGTCTCCTCCATTAAAGACGGCTGATAATACTCCGTTGGCATTATGATATTATAACTATCAAACGAGAGAGAGTAGGATACTAGTTTAGGAAGCCGCAAAATAAAGTGAACCATTTGATGTTTATGAATGACTTGAAGTTTGTTAAGGAGATTAGAGGGTGAACTGTAAAGCCTGTTTGATGTCATACAAATCTGTTCATTCTAAAGATATTGATTTGTATAAAAGTGCTGCTTTGGTTTTAAAACAAGGGGAAAAAGTTAGTTGTGAGTGAATCATTTTACTAGACCCCTGCCTCAGCTTCGCTTCGTCAGATGACAATGACATCGGTCTGCATAATTCTTGATATCATGCTCAATCTCATTCAATAATTGCGTATTATTCTGCCTCACGAATACGTATCATTCGTTTTTTTTTGCAAAAGCCACTACCTGAAAACTGGCTTATCATAGCAGCGTACATTGTTTTCTTAAAAGCTCATTTCATGATTATGATTGGTTGATGTATCGATACTTTATTACTAATGCATTATAGATATATTTGAACAATGAATATTTTGATCATATTTTTAACGCTTCATACAAGACTCACAACTCGATGTTTTCAGCGAAGGATTTGGAATATTCGTTTGAAGGTTAAAAAATATATATGAAGGTATGGATAAAACTGCTAATAAATGTAAGTTATAGTACGATAAGTTTGTTAAAAAATACGTAAAGGTAGAATACTATGACATCTGGTTTAATTTAATACTTGTGCAAGTATTTCGTCTTTTCCCTGATGGTGACAAAAAGCATACTTGGTAGCTTCTTGTTCCTCGAAGGAACAATGAAGCAATGCTTACAAGTATACGAATCCTTTGTTCATATAAAGCGACAACTAAGATGAAAACTATGATATGCATGTTTCACAAAAAATTCTTCAAAAGTGACTGGAATTCGTTTTCGCAAATGCTAGAGACATAATTCTATAGTTTACGACAGTTTGTCAAGATATCGCTTTGAGTAATTAAGTAAAATTTTTATACATGTACTTCAACTTTGTTTTGAACATTGTTGTTATTCAAAATTGTTTTGGTGTAATTTCTTAAGATGTTTGCATGGAATTAATTTCATAATGGCGAATCACTAATACCTTAAATTTTTAAGACTCCTAAGCCAAGCAAAACTACATTCTAAAGTTTCGTAAAAAATTGACACAGCTATTACTCTATTTCAATGCAGCTGTCGGAAAAGTAAGGATGAAAGAGACAGTTGAGAAAGTTTGAAATAATAGTTTTTGGAATGAATTCTCAATGGAATTTGAAAAATTTACTGACTAAACACAAAGATTTGATGCAAGAAAAATAACGAGCTTCTTCTTTAATTAAAAAACATGAAAGATAATTTATGTATCCTACTTGAAGATACGAATTCCAGACAATTTATACAAAAAAATTTGGTCGTTTTAATTGAGCATAAAGTCAGCGATGTTACTAATAACTAATATGTAGCATTTCATAACAGTGGGAAGGCTTCGATTACACAGAACAAATTCCAATAGTTTGTTCTTCGATATATTTACAATTTAAATGACCAAAATTGTGAACGTATAATGAATTTGAAATTACTGCTATAATTTATTTTTTCTGACGCTGGTTCACCTATGCGTCAAATCATACGTGGGGGAAATTTTAAAAATATCTTAGCGATCAATTCCAACAATAAACTCCTTCATTTATACTTTTCTAAGGTACAAAAAATACACTTTTTAAGCAGGTAAAAATTTTCTTCTAGAAAATATACAATTATAGTGTAAATGAATACGCTTTGAGTTTTGAAACGTGTGCTTTTCTCTTTTTAGTGTTGTAACCAATCCAAATCTAAAGCATGACGTTTGACATAAGAGCGCATTACTATAAAATATGGACATTTGGTGTGGTAAGTTGGTCTGAACCATTAAACAGAATGCTGATATTTGTTATATTTATTTATAGATTCATCATATATTTTTAGAACATTGGTGATTGTAAATGCATTCCAAATGACCCTTAGAAAATTTTAATTTCATGAAGATAGTTAAAGAATGAACGGAATATGTAACTGCTCTGCTACTTCCCGCCAAAGCTTTAAGGCATCAATTCAACAAATCTTTGCAAGCACGGCCCAAAGACAGTTTGTTAACACAGTAAGCTAAAATAAGCAAAGGCGCAGGAAAAGGAGGAAAGGGGGGGGGGGGGCAACTGCTCCCAATATTTCCCATACTAAGGCTTAATATATGTAATTCAAAAATGCCAGTCATATAAATCAATGCGTAATATATCTAAGTGACCATTGGGGAGTGTTTTGCCCCTGCAAAATGAAATCCTACAGGCGCCACTGTAAATGAGAGACTTTAACAAAAAACATTAGTGTCTGCTGGCTCATGTAAGTAGAGGCATATATACCAAAGGATAGCACAAATATTTATCTCAATGGTTTGCGCTTAAACAATTAGGATATCTTACTTTTAGACAAGACTTCACTTACCATCTAATGCAGGATGTACACTGGCTAAGATATAATTAAGCTGACCATATGTTTTTGTACACAACACTCAATCGTGAAAATTTATATTTATTTTGTAACAAAGCTTATACGTTGTTTGAGTGAAGAGTTATTTATCCTGTTTGCGATTATTTCTAAAATTGGTAGTTTAATGTCGTGGTCACTCACAGCAAGATAGCAATTTTATGCTTCGAATTTGGGAAAATAGATTAAAATAACTGGGATAGTTTTTTTGTTGTTAAATTATTGCAAAAATATTAGCGACCTTTTCAAATGATGTGAAAACAATCAGCACTTTTTTGACATAATTACGTAACGGACCAATCAGAATGCGTGATGAAAATAAAATATAAACAAATCAAGCACTATGTTTAATCAACTTTCTGCAGTTTGTTGTTGAATTTTTTGACGAAATAAAAGCTGTCTGTTAATAAATGAGTATTTTTCTTCAATTTTGCCGTATGACATTTTCAATCACAGGAATTTCCTCAACACGTATCTAAAAAGATAAAAATTACCATGCTGCTTCCATGAAGTTTTAGAAAGCAAAGTTATTATCGGGGTGATTGAACAAATGTAAAAACAAAAAAGAATGACGTCATCCCAAGCAGCGAGTTGACGTTTAGAGCAGCGATAAGTTGTAGACGGTCCATCTTCATTTACATTGCCATGTTCTAACCAGCACAATTTAAACTTTATGAAATAAAACAGATTACTAAAAATATAGCTCTTTTTAAGATTTGGCATCAATATGTCGTAAAAGTAACCATAGCTTGGGATTTCATACAAACTATAATTAGTATTGCCGCACATACAGAAACTATTTCAAATGTCATCAGAGGCGTCGGCAAGGAGGTGACGTTGGGCAACTGCCCCCTAATATTTACTAAACATAAGTCTTTACATACATAAGTAAAATACTCAGTCATGCATATAAAACAATAATACATGTTAATGACATTTAAGGGGTGTTCCCCCAAAAATATAATTCTAGTACCAGCGCCACTGAATGTTCTTACATATAATATAATAACACGATGAAGTTGAGCAATTTCATTTGTCGCGAGCTAATTGGAATTGACGTCACAGAAAATTTCATGTTTATAAAAAAAAGGCGGATATATTTGAAATTTATCGCAATACCTCCCTGAATGGGAAAATGAAGATGTTCACAAAGACCTAATTGAGGCAGTTAACGTATTTGAGCAAAAAGAACAGAAAAAAACTCGGTTTTCAAACATTGATTTGTACTTCGTCTTCGATAACAAATTTTCAACAAAATTGATCAGTCATTGCTTGTTTATTTTGTTAGCCGATCACATTTTATCACGTGATTAAGCTAGCCAATAGAATTTCTTCAATCCTAGAATTTTTGCGAAATCAAGACTTTTCAACGTTCCAAGTGTTGGGAGACAAAGAAGACAAACTGTTTGACGGTTTAATTTGGGAATTTTTTCGATTTTATTTTATAAAACAAATAGATGACAATTAACCGTTGTCTATACAGTTATAGATACACGGGTAAGCGTCATTTGTGATAAAAACTAAAAAAGTGACCACGAGCCACCGGGGCGAGTTTTCCACTTAAGTATTGTACAATTTAGGCATATGGAAACATGAGCTTGCTCATTTACAAAAACTCAATTGCAGAAATGATTGACCATAGTGCTTATTTTGTCTACATTCAATTCTCTTGACACATATTGATTGGCTATTGAAATATCCACAAAAGCACTAATTGGTTGAACATATTTGGACATTGAGAGGCCAATATCCGAGTTTGGAAATCCATTTCGCTCTTCGACTGGAAGATCTCCTTTCACACCCTTAAATATCCTGAAATTAGTTGACCGATTACAACAAGCATCTTGATAATAATCATTACTATTTTTGACAAAAGCTAACTCTTGGGTGACTTTTTGAGCTAGAAATGGTAGGGGATAAATAAAGGTTGGGTGCACTGTCTGCTACCTTTGAAATGGATAATTATTACCAGGAGGCAATTATGGGGTGTGGGCTTAGTACGAGTTGGTCATCTCCTTGTTTTCTTATACAGCTCAATTTCTTGATTTTCCCTGTCAAGAGATGGTAAAATGCATGAACCTGGGGTAAAATAGTTATTTTTTGTTGTTCAGGTTCTTTTGCTAATTGCCGTCATTGTATTTTGCATATGGGGAAGACCAAGATACATGGAATACGGAATGAGTGTTGTTTTGATCTTTGTGATTAGTTTAAATGCCATCCTCATACTAACAATAACGGATACAAGTCCATTAGTAAGTAAAAAATGGCTTAACTATCTTCGTCATCGAAACAAATAGCTTTCATAAAGAAAAAAACTTTACTGCCTGGAATTCCTCATATGAATAAAAAAATACACTTTAAGAGAGCAATTTAAAATCCCGTCCATTGCACTTGTGATTTTAAGGTCTACTGGTGCAAAAATGTTTTCGCCATCTGGTTGCTCGCAGTTGGGGCTGTCTTAGCTTTTATGGTTCATCAATAGATGGAAGAAAATTTCAAAAGGACGCAAGGCATTTTGTAGTTTGCTTTAAAATTTCGCGACTCTCGGTCACTAACTTACTCACGCGTAACGTGGGACTGCATAAATTTTAATGTTTTTTATTCACAATATACTTCTTTATTAATACGAACAACACTTTAATTGTAAATAACACGGTAACAGTAATAAATGACAAAACCAAACCTAAAGTTCTGATTTTCCAGATAGTATAAGGCAGACAATGCTTATATGTACATTTTTATGTTTCTCAATTGGTTGAAGACATTCCGGGTAAAAGTAAAAAAGTAATTACAAATTGTATTGCAAATACAATGAGTAATTGGCTACAATTTAAAGCCATAGATTAAGATAAGGCCCCCAAAACAAGTGAAAAAATCGGTATGAAGCGCATACATGTAGGTTGCCTGGCAAATTACTGGCAACAAAATGAAGTAAACTGATAAAAATAATTCAAATGATATCATATGTTGTGCTCACTTTTCATTCGCCAGCACTCACACTGCATTTGACGAACGCCCTCGATCAGATTGCATGTCACATGACTGATCGCACGAGCTCAAATCATGGAAAGTGAACTCCTCGTGGTGCCTCCAAATTTTAACAACAAATTCATAGACCATGTGATTGAAAACCAGTATTTACTAAATATATTATCATGCAAAACAACTTGTATTGTTGTCAATTTTTATTGTAATCAGCTTGTATTGTAGTAAATTTGATTGCTGTCAACTTGTCTTGTTGTATTTGCTTGGTAACGAACAAACACCTGTCTTTCAACGACCCCTTTTCCAAGTTTTCCAAAAGTAGAAAACTTGTAGAACAAATTTTTAAGAGATTTGATCGGTTGAGAATTCGCGTTACGACATTTTTTCACAAGGGTAGAAACTGTAAAGGCAGTGTTGCAAAAATGGCTCATGCATCATAAAGGCAATATGTAAGGTTTAGATTTAAATATATATTGCATAAGAGCAATCCTACTTGAACATTACGGAGGATGTATTCTGATGACACTGTCTGCATGTATCTAAAATAAACAAGAGAGGTCATGGTTACAAGTTGATGTATTTATAGGCAAAGCTTTACAACCTTTCTCCCCAGTTAATTTATTTAAATTTGGGGCAGAACTGTCGGGGGAGGGGGCGTCTTATCCTAGAAATTCAGTTAACAGAACTTTTATCATCATTGAATTCTCCAGAAGACATTCATTCTTGGCAAACTAAAGTCAAACTCTACATATAGTCATCAAAAAATGACTAACACTACTGACTCCAAAGCAAGTTGTTCAAAGTCAAGATTGCGGCAAAAACGTGTTGTTTTGCTTTAAGTCCTCTTCAAAACATGCACCAAAGAAGCCTATAAACAGTTCTTAAAGATTGCATAATGTAATACATCTTTTTTACAGTCGTTGGTGAATTTGAGAATCAGGGCCACATTCGTAAAACAATCAGTGGTACTTCGTCTACTTTCCGGAAAAAGAGACGAGCGCTTAAAGTGGTATTCTATTTCTTAGCTCGTATCTGACGATAACCGAGGATTACAAAACTGACAACGCAATGAGAGTTCCGACTGACTTGAAACAATTATTTTCAAGGTGTTGATGGCTCATTGTCTTTTCAGGCGTAAGTAAACACGATTTACTACTTACTCGAGGTAAGTAGTGAACAACTTATCAACGCCTACAGGACGAATTATTTTACAATATTATCTTTGCAACATTGTCTGCTCAGGCGGAAGTAAACACGATTTAATACTTGCTCGAGGTAAGTAGTGAACAACTTATCAACGCCTACAGGACGAATTATTTTACAATATTATCTTTGCAACATTGTCTGCTCAGGCGGAAGTAAACACGATTTACTACTTGCTCGAGGTAAGTAGTGAACAACTTATCAACGCCTACAGGACGAATTATTTTACAATATTATCTTTGCAACATTGTCTGCTCAGGCGGAAGTAAACACGATTTACTACTTGGTCGAGGTAAGTAGTGAACAACTTATCAACGCCTACAGGACGAATTATTTTGTGATATTATCTTTGCAACATTGTCTGCTCAGGCGGAAGTAAACACGATTTACTACTTGCTCGAGGTAAATAGTGAACAACTTATCAACGCCTACAGGACGAATTATGGAAGACGTGGAATTTATCTTCAAAAATTATTTTTCATACAAAATAGCAATGAGTTTATTACTAAAAATCGTAAGACTTCTTGAGGACGTCGCCGCTGTTTTGTTCAGTGCAAGACACTTCGAACACAAACACATCACATGCATTTTAAGCGAGAGCGCACAGACAATAAAGAAAGGTTAAGATGATAACTGGACCTTTTACCAAACAGATTAGACCTTCATCAAGGTTTTGCTCATATTTTTCGTAAACATATCTCATATTTTGTGCAGGGTTGATGTGTATTATTTACATGCAAACTCTGCCTATGGTCGAGCTATCGGAAATGCTTATCTATTTTTACATTTCAGTTTAACTAGGTGCACTGTTGAGTTGAGACCACAGGGAGAGACGGTTAACCTACTTGAAACTGAAGTGTAGGAACGTAATTATGCGAAGTGTGTAAGTTTTAATAACGCGTTTGAGAGAAACAAGAATAGGCTATCCCCATTTTTCTATGATTTTTTTAGATAACTCTAGAAAAAACAGTAAATACACGTTATGGACACGTAACTACAAACTCTTAACTTGACTATGGGATCCTCTAATGCAATGCTCAGCGCTGTAAGGAAAACGACAACGGAAGTCAAACCCAGTGGCATGATTCAAAAGCCTGTATTTAGTCGTAATGTATCAATCAGGTCACACAGCAGTAGCTACAAGTTATCAGCAGTAGAACAGACAACCAAACTCACTCGAAGAAACATTCTGAATTGTATTGTGAATAAGTTTTTACGGTAACTTAGTTGTAGATTTTCAACAGTGTTCATTCGCGTTCAGTTGAAATCAGCAATCTTACTTTTCGTCAGAGGTGAATACATGAAGAAAACAGTTTATAATTCTTTCTTTAGTTTCGAGGAAATCCTTTAATACATTACTATCATTATTAAATTTAGGGGTTTTACTTAAGTTAAGAGTTTTTTTTATTTCTGTGGGTTCCGTTATTAGTAGGCGTGTAAGCGCATATATTGCTTGAAAAAAGGTAGATGATGGAATGAGCTGAAACGTAAAATATTTTTTAAAGATGAGAGAATGAGCTTTGTAAGGAAATCATGTGATATCTGAAGTGCTACCATTAATATAAATAGTTGTAAATATCTAATGAAAGGGGGATGCTACGTTTGTGTGTTCAATTAAGTATAGCACAATACAGTCCCAGAGTGTTATAGGATCAGCTCACGGAAAACCGAGAGGAGTTTTCCAACATTTAGATTTCAATTTTCGTTATGAAAGTCTTGGTATTCACAGCGTTCGTGGTGCTCCTTCTCGGGTCGCTCGATCAAACGCAGGCGGTTGCCCCATTTTTCAGGGTGTTTATAGCACTGGGCTACAAGTTGGCTACAAAAACGTACTACGCAAAATGCAATCCGCGAGACTTTCCTTCTCACTTGAATTGCCCTTCAGTCGCCTACGGTTTTGGCGGGAGCAAGAACTCGGCCATAAAAGCCGCAAGATGGTACGCGGATGGTATTGAGAACGGCTGTGGTCGTTATGTTGGTCACTGTCAAGTAAAGAAATTCGTCAAGTAAAAACAATGTTTGTATAAAATCGGACTTTCAATTTATTTTGCTCACTGAACTGGACAATGAAGAATGAATGGGAATTTATGTGATGATAATAATCGCAATATTGTTATTGATTTCCAAACCAATCAATCAATAAAATTTTATTTCTCTGCACTACTTTTTTGCTATTTTCTTATTTTCAACATTCACATCTCTTTCGAGCTTTGTATGGTGCCTTATTGTGCATTTGGTACATAAATTAGAAGATGTTCTTTAATAAAACGACAAAAAATGCTTTTGTTATGTTGACCTGACGTATAAAACGACAAAAAATGCGCTCGTTATGTTGACATGACGTATAAAACGCCAAAATATGCTCTCGTTGAGTTGACATGACGTATAAAACGACAAAAGATTCGCTCGTAATGTTGACATGACGTTATGGTAAATTGAACAGTAAACTTCATCAACAGTATGCACATATGAATATTTGCTCCTTCCTCCCCAATTATTGAGCTGCGTACGGCACTGATTAAGTTTAATTTGTACGATAAGCCATTTCATACGTCATCTCATACAGTTCAGTGTAAAAAATTATTTGTTTATCGCTACATTTTGAAGCTAGACGGTACGTTGAAATTTACAGTTAACGTTTGATGAACACGCAAATTGGAAGGAATGAATAACAACACCAAATGAGAAAATTAAATAAAAATATTCTGAAGCTTAACTCGAATAACTGGTGACTTGATTGATAAACTTGTAGATAAATATGGCAGCCATTATTTCACGTTATAACATGTTGGTGAAGGAGCAAGGATATTTTCACCTCCAGGCTCAAACGATAAGTCAATCAGTGAGATCCATGTCGAAATACAAGCCACTAGAATGTTGTAATAATGGCTTTGTATAACACCATTCTTCCTGAGATGATTTTTTGAAATGTTAGAGTGGCCTTTTTTAACTATTATTGCGTACTTCAGAAACACTTGAGAAAAAAGTGTTTTATGCACTATGTAGCCAATATACAGAGTGTCATCAGAAAAACGGAACCGTACAAACAATTTGTATGCATTAAAAGGAAATCTGCAATAGACAATATAGTCGGCAATAGACAATACAGTCTGCAATGGCTAATTGCTCGACCTGGTTCATTTAGTAACACGCTTGTTTGTTGCAAAATGTTCGTAGCAACTATTGGAAAATGTGAATACCTTTTTTGATTGCTCTCTCTAAGTTATTGTCGCTTTGATTTTAGAAAGCATTTCCTTATTAGATTTGAGACAAAAATCAGTGCATCATAGTAATTTTAAATTGCTTTGCTTTTAATTTTTAAATTCAACTTTTAAATCCCAGAGGAGCAGAACTGTCAAGAACATTAAACTGTTGTTAATGCTAGTTATATTATCAAAATATTTTTTCTTACTGAATCGATTACTAAGGGCTGATCATATGAGCCCGGCTAACCGGGATTCAGTGAGGCGTTAGATGATTTTGGCAAATGGAAACGATTCTATACTTATCATAAGATAAATCTTCTCGAGCAATTTCACAATATTCTGATTTAATGACAGCGCAAAACATTTAAAATTGAAACAGCCAGTTTGGCCTAATTTGAGAATTTCAACAGAAATGACTTGTGGCGCTTAGCAAACAGTTGTAACTTTTACGCTTAAAGTTTTGCCCCCTTTCAATGCAACAAAATCATTTAATGCATCACTAAATCCCGGTTAGCCGGGCTCATATGAACAGCCCCTAAGTCAATTTGTAATGGCAGTGTTTGAATACGTTCATTTGTATTAATCTTTTACAACATTTGAAACATCATGGCTTACATTTCTTTAGTCACTGAAGATAGATTTTCTTCAAATCTCTCCAAAATCATGAGAAGCAATCTTTCTGCATTCACATAACTCAATTTCATGTTTAATCTTGTCTCGTTTGTTTATCTTCTTGACGCAACGTTCATTAGAACACAACACTGGAGTAAAACCACAATTTTCAACATGTCTTTCAAGATCTTCAACATTTATAAATTCAGGACAACCACGACTGGCGTAGTCGCAACTTATCTTAAACTTAGAAACCAAGTTATTTATAATACGCGCTGGAAGAAGTGTAGCTAGTTATCATGACATTGAGGACATCTTTGTGCATTAACTCGTAGTGGTTCTTCAATAGAAAAACGAAAAAAGATGTGCTCGTTATGTTGACACATTCTGGCATCTTTAACGACGTTCATGCAAATCGAACAATGAAATTTTCATCAACAGCAGTCTTAAATCTCCATTCATCATATCCACTTTCATAATCATTTAGATAGCACGCCATTTCCGAATATATTTCTGAAAAATCTAATGTCAAACTTACTCTAAGAGGTAGAAAATTATTTGTTTAATGTCCCGTTTTGCAACTAGAGAACACGTTCAAAATCCTATAATAGATATTATGCTGATTAAACGCAGACGTTAAGACAATAAGACAAATTCGTTCAAATATAAATATGCAGGGCGTATATGTGTTGTACTCAAACATGGCAAACAAAGAAAGTCCACAAAATTAAGTGCATCGATGAACACAGTTCAAATGATATTGGAACTATTGTCATCAATATCAACATTTAAATAAACATCGAGATAATCATGTACGAAAACTTCATTGTTTAGAGCAAATGTTCATAGAAAACAAATAGAACGAACGGGCTGTAAGTCGGAATAACACGGCTTTGCTTCTCACAAAATGCTTCCCAAAATTTCACCGTAAAAATGCCACGAAAGCATCATAATATTATTCTCATTCATTCTTTCACGCTCAGGTCACACGACCAATTATTAATAATAATCGTTTTATTGCTAGCACACTCAACAGTCAAATGCATGTCACGTGATTGTACTCACATAACATTCAATAATCACCACTTAGGTCATTCCTCACTTTTTGATGGTAAATTTCTTAAATATTTTTATCTATCTAATGTTGTTCAGTATTACAAGTTCGATGCTTTGAAACAAGGAGAGGTGTACCCTTTACTCTTTATGAAAGTATAGATAGTGACAATATAGTTTGGAACAGGGAGAGATGTACCCTTCACTCTCCATGAAAGTATAGTTTGTGACTAAATAGTTTAAAACAGGGAGAAGTGTACTCTTCACTCTATATGAAAGTATATTTAGTGACTACATAGTTTGAAACAGCGAGAGGTATACCCTTCACTATCCATGAAAGTACATTTAGTGACTACATAGTTCGAAACAGGGAGATGTGTACCCTTCACTCTATATGAAAGTATAGTTTGTGACTAAATAGTTTAGAACAGGGAGAAGTGCACCCTTTACTCTATATGAAAGTATATTTAGTGACTACATAGTTTGAAACAGCGAGAGGTATACCCTTCACTATTCATGAAAGTACATTTAGTGACTAAATAGTTTGAAACAGGGAGAGGTGTACCCTTCAATCTCCATAAAAGTATAGTTAGTGACTACATAGTTTGAAACAGGGAGAGGTGTACCCTTCACTCTATATGAAAGTACAGTTAGTGACTAAATAGTTTGAAACAGGGAAAGGTGTTCCCTTCACTCTATATAAAAGTATAGTTAGTGCCTACATAGGTTGAAACAGGAGAGGTGTACCCTTCACTCCATGAAAGTATAGTTAGTGACTACATAGTTTGAAACAGGGAGAGGTGTACCCTTCACTCTATATGAAAGTATAGTTAGTGACTACATAGTTTGAAACAGGGAGAGGTGTACCCTTCACTCTCCATGAAAGTATAGTTAGTGACTACATAGTTTGAAACAGGGAGAGGTGTACCCTTCACTCTATATGAAAGTATAGTTAGTGACTACATAGTTTGAAACAGGAGAGGTGTACCCTTCACTCTCCATGAAAGTATAGTTAGTGACTACATAGTTTGAAACAGGGAGAGGTGTACCCTTCACTCTCCATGAAAGTATAGTTAGTGACTACATAGTTTGAAACAGGGAGAGGTGTACCCTTCACTATCCATGAAAGTACATTAAGTGACTAAATAGTTTGAAACAGGGAGAGGTGTACCCTTCACTCTCCATGAAACTATAGTTAGTGACTACTTAGTTTGAAACAGGGAGAGGTATACCCTTCACTCTCCATGAAAGTATATTAAGTGATTACATAGTTTAAAACAGGGAGAGGTGTACCCTTCACCCTCCATGAAAGTATAGTTAGTGACTACATAGTTTGAAACAGGAGAGGTGTACCCTTCACTCTCCATGAAAGTATAGTTAGTGACTACATAGTTTGAAACAGGGAGAGGTGTACCCTTCACCCTCCATGAAAGTATAGTTAGTGACTACATAGTTTGAAACAGGAGAGGTGTACCCTTCACCCTCCATGAAAGTATAGTTAGTGACTACATAGTTTGAAACAGGGAGAGGTGTACCCTTTACCCTCCATGAAAGTATAGTTAGTGACTACATAGTTTGAAACAGGGAGAGGTGTACCCTTTACTCTTCATGAAAGTATAGTTAGTGACTACATAGTTTGAAACAGGGTGAGCTCTACCCTTTACTCTCTATGAAACCATAGTGAGTGACTACAGTGTGGTAATTTACTGTTTGCAAAGTGCAACGTGCACATTGTAGTAAAATATTAAAATTGGCACATTATTTTTTAAGCAATATGGAAAGAAGTAAATATTTTGCATTAATTACTAGCCCACAAATTGCCATTCTTTGTAGTATGATATCAATAGGATGTTTTATTATCCGATTCAAACATTAATAACAGAAGTTATACATACAGAAGCTTTTACAAGCTAATCCAGAGAAATGAGAAGTAAACATATTAGTCACATCATGTCGGGCAAACATGCCTATTTTTCAGAACAATTGACTTCAGAAAGTGACCAGTTGTACACATGAACCGTTTAACTTGTTTAAATGTAAAATATGGGCACAATTTTACTACTGCATCATGTTTAGCTTAATGAAGAGTTTGTTTGAATCTGACTCTGAAACTTCATGTAATATCAATCTAATTGTGACTTGAGAGAAACATTTTTCTGAAAAACAAGAGCACATCATTTTTTTGACACTAATTCATACAATGGGTGACTACTTGGCCAGGAACAGAGATAGGTCCATCTTTCACTCTTCATGACAAAAAAGTGGGTGATTGCCGAGTTTGAAAAAGGTAGAGGTGTCTGCTTTACTCTCCAGGAAGCATAATGAATGACTACTTAGTTTGAAACAAAGTGAGGTGTAACCTTTACTCTTAATGAAAGAAAAACAAATGAGATAGCTTAAAACAGGGAGAGATAAACCCTTCACTTTCAATGAAAACATAGTGAGTGACAAGTAGACTTGGAACAGGGAGTATATTAACCGTCACAAGCCAATACTACATTTAAGGGGTTGAATACATTATTTCACTTCATGAATTTTCCATGCAAATTTTTTATGCATTTGATTTTGACAAGGATTCATACACTGTGTCCGTTCACTGTGATTGAAATTACAAAAAAATATTTTAAATTATGGACTCTAACTTAAATTTAGACAAAAATAAAAAATGCATATCACATAAGAGTTACCTCACCTGAACATAACAGAGGATGTACTGTTTGAATTCATTGTTCATAATCCAAATTCTGATGACACTATCTATATATATACATAAAATTCAAAAAGAGAAAGAAATAATTATTTATTCATAGGCTAAGCTTACCATCCCCTCCTCTCCAAGGTACTTCACTTAAAGTTGAGGCAACTGTGGGGGGTCTAGTTTTGGAAATTCAGTTAAAAAACTTTATCATCATAATTTATTTCAAAGATATTTATTCTTGGGAAGCATATCAAAGAGTTTCTGAGGGCATCGCTCACTGTAGCAATACTAAAGTTAATTTCCAGAAACTAAAAACTTAAGACAAGACACAGTTGCGATACTTTACAAATTTGACAGCCATGTTGGCCATGTTGTTCTGTTCACTGAACTGCATAAACAAATTACTCACCCGCAGCAAGTTGTTCAGATTCAAGACTGTGGCAAAACGCAAAAACATGCTTCTTTACTTTTCTTTCCCCATCCAAACAAGCAGCTAGACATTGAAAGAAGCCTCAAAACACTTTTCAAAGATTAAATAATGTAATATATATAATATATTTTTTACAATTACGGTAAATTTGGCGCCACTCTCCGCCACATTGCATTGAAAAAACAATTTGCGGTATTTTCCGAAGAAAGCGACAAACGCTCAACATGGTATTTTTCGTCTTCGTTCGTATCCGACTACTACCGAGGATACGAAATTGACAACTAACGAAAGCAGAGTTCTGATTGGCTTGAATCAGCCATTTTAAAGATCCAGTTGCTGATTCCTGATGGCAATATAGCCGCTTATTTTTTTGAAAATGAAATTCTTATTATTGATATGATTGTTTTTGAGGAAACGCAGGAAACAATTTACACAATACAAATACAGGGCAGATTGTATAACCCCCCGCCTGATAGTTCTACTCCTTGGATTGTATTTTCTCAATTCCATCAATTCAAAAAGCTATGGACAATCAATAAATAAACTGCACAGGCGTATTGAGGAAACCTTGGGCATACCTCGAGAGCTGATCAGTGAAAGCCTGAGAGCGAAGATCGAGGGTTGCACCTGCTCGAGAGTTCTTACAAACGTCTCTGAAGTTTGCATAAGCCATGCAGTCCAAACACGAAAAACACCTTTTATTTCTTTTAAAAAATAACTATAGACAATTTTAAACAAATGTTTTCATGATCGATTTGCAAATTCTCTTCGATTGAGTGATTGATTTGTTTGGTTTAGCTCAGATCGGTTTGTTTGCACAGACTAATGCAAACACTTTCGTTAACCAATCACTGCACGCGTTTTATTGTGTTTATTTTATGAATAAAATATTTATCTTCAATGGGAGAAATGTGTTTTTGAGACTGAACTCTAAATTTCTTGATTTCTTTAGGAATAGTTTTCAATGCCTCCTGACATTTGAAATGGCAAAAAGATACACATTCTTGGTACATAACTCCATATTATTGTATCATCTTACTTTATTAATATCTCACTTTAAAAAAAACGAAAATTCTAGAAGAGATTGGAAATCGGTGTTTACAGAAACTTAAATTTAGAGCTTAAACATTCTGTTCCAAACCACCCGTATGATTGTGCGTGTAGTCATCTGCGACAATTGTTTAAAGTTGTGTACATCGAAAGAGTTTACATTTAAAAAATATTTTGACAGAAAAACAAACTAATAGGATTTCCTATTCAAGTTATTTTTCCTAAATCTATCGGACCACTTCACATTTTGGCACAGTCGCGAGTTAAATATAATAATTATTACGTCATTGTTCAAGGTGCAAAATAGAAATTGCCGTCATTTAATTTTAGCTCGTGTGAATTCATTCCACAGGGAAGTCTACTGAAGGTCAACATTTCTCCTTTCATCTTTGTTTATGTAAACGTTAAAGAATGATAATTTAATTTTGATATAACAAAAACGATCAAACAATGTCATTTCAATGGTAGTTTTCCACTTAAGTTTCTTTTTGTTATAAGTAGATGAAAATGTAGTTAAATAAGTAAATTGTGAATTTTGACATGACATCATGGCAACCATAGAAGACAGATCATCACTATACATGACGTCATTTATGATTGTTCATATTTGAAAGTGCTAAAAACGGTAACGGCATTGCTTCGTCAGCCATAAACTATAATTGGACAACTTATAGAAAAAATTTCTTCAGTCCCAGTTTATTTTTTATGACTTCAGAATACTTTACTTGATTTTCTGAATGCTTAAAAATAATGTGTATCCATTACCAAATAAGGTTAATTGTGTAGTAATTACATTTTGCTTCATTGCATTCCGATTTGAAATAGATGTGACATTTATTTTCAATATAATTTCTGATTAAATCACCAACTGAGCAAACCGATACCTTCGAATGGATTTTTTTTAACTTACTTATGAAACCACGCAATCGGTAGGGTAGCCATCCAAATGTTTTTCTGTTTACTCACTTTGAAAACAACAGATTTCAAAAAGAAAGAAAATAATGATAACGCTCTAAAATTTACATAACTAGCGTCAGTGTTATTAAAGCTCACACACTCACTGAGTGTGGCTTCAAAATCATCTCCTAACCATCTAAAGACTATTTCTACTCTAACGATTGCTCCAGGAGAATTATTTCAACAAAAATCTTGCTATGAATAAAGAAATAGTTTACCATTGATTAGCGGGAGTGCGTTTTTAGTGTCGCAATCATTGAGTGTGAGTGTGAGGGCGCTCTTAGAACACAGGCACAAAACTTGCGGGATAGCTAATGTCAATACTACTGCACAGTGCCCACACAACATTAGTTCTTTCTTTGCCGCATCGTATGGTATGTTCGTGCTCAATTTTGTCTGCGTGTTTTAATCAACTTTGTCTCTTGCATAAAGCTGCATCATTAATTTATATTTTTTTAAACGTGCCGAAAACAATGTGATGACGAGATGTCCATATTTCGATTAGTAAAACTGGCGTGGGTACATTCATTCTTAGTTTTCTTCCGGATTAAAGCTGTCATTAAAAGGCAATAGAGTAAGTTTTGAAAGAAATTGAAAAAACAATTTGAAAAATCGTGTTCCGTTGCGTGACTGTTTGTGAAAAAACAATTTTATTTTCGTTCCGTGCGACGAATGTGATTTGCGTTGGAGGTGCACGCGATATTGACGTCTGGTTTAGATTTAATTAACAGTCCATAAAATATACAGTGTTGTTGAAAGTTTTGTCTTTATAGATTCCATCAATATAGTTTCTTGATCAGCCACGTTGGGATGTCGAACCTCGAGTCTTTCTGATGTAGTCAAGTGGAATGTCTTCATCGGGAGTGATCTGATGTTGAAACTTGAGTTTTTGTACATACTTAAGTCAAGTGTTTTCATCAAGTGTGATTTGATTTTGAATCAGAAGTAGCCCTTACATAATTCGAGTGTATATTCAGGAGTGATCTGATATTAAAACTTGAGTATTTTTGTACGCAGTCTAGTGTTTGCTTGAGGTGATTCAATGTTGAATCTTCAGCATAAGTGCATGATCTGATTTGAAATAGGTTTTTGACCCGCATTGACTCCAGCGCTCGCATAACAAATTCGCCGAAAGCTGAGCACTGATAAATAATTTAAAAATTAGAGATTGGCAGTCTTCTTTCACTCATCTAATTTTATTGCTGAAATTTTGCGCATCAACATTCTATTATTACACTAATTACTTATGATAACTTCTATATTTTTCACTCACACCGAGAAATTCATCATTTCACATCATCAGAAATTCATCATTTCACTTCTGAAAATACAGCTTGTGCAAAATTGAAACTGTCGTGTTCAGGAATTGTAAACAGCTCACAATACTGAATTAACGGTAGCATCGCGACGCCATGGGAAAGTTGTTTCGTCTCCACTAAACTATTTACATAATTCCCACGTATTTTAATGTCATTATTATACGTTCTCCTGCTGTTCTATAAACTAATCAGAGAGACTTTGCCATTAAAACGAACGTTCTTTTTATAAACAATACGACTTGCAATATATTTACTAAAAACAAAACCGTGAATCTCGAAACGTGTAGACGCATGTGTAGGATGATCGTATTAAAAGAGGAAAATTTTGCATTATTATCGTGTCGGCACATTTGACCTGTTCTTCGTTTGAACCATTTCAAACTCTGTTGCCATGTCTGCATGTGTAACTAAGTAAAGGGATCTATTTCAGTAACGAAGACTTTGTGAAGAGGAGGGAAGGGTGTTGGAAAAGGAGTAACGAACTAAACACTAACAGTGTCTCAGTGGGGTGGGGAGGAAGGAGAGTGGGAAAAACACGAAGTATAAGTTACACAACAAAAAATGATATGTTTAATAACTACTGGATCCTCGTCTTATTTTAGTTACAGCTTTGCAACATCGGTTAGACATGCTGTATGTTAAATCAATGTATCTTTTGCGCGGATCGTAAACATCATTATCTAACAGACAAACTACGAGCAGCTCTTTTCGACTGCTTCTGCATAATCGTAATTTAATGAGTGTATTTAGCGAAAAACTCTCATCTAAATATATGCTGTGATGATGCTCTAAGCTTCTTGCATGCTGCCTAGTAATTAGTCAGGTCTTTTTTAAAGGCAGGTCTCATTCCATGGATGTTTGGAGGCCAAAGCTACAATGAAAACACTTTTTTCACTTGCCTTTCATGACAAACCTCGTGACTACGGTCGTGTTTGTTTACTACGGTGTTTTTTTATGTCTTATCTAATTTTTTAATGTGATCAGAAAATTAAAAAAATTTTAATCCAGAGTGCCCAAGCTTTTCACTTTGAAGATCTTGAGGGGACGGGTTAATGCACTTTCAAAGTTGAGTTTCGACAAAATTTTCGAGCGTGGCAAAAAGGTGGCTGTATTTTTCACGAAAATGAAGTTTTTCTCTTTGAATTCACGTTTTCCTCATTGACTGTCCTGTATAAATACCTTTCTGCCTTTTAAAAGATTTTCAAAACAATTTAAAAGGTTCCTTGCTCACTAGATTAATTCCAGCCATGTGGCCTTGTGTTAATGTATTTTAAGTGACCTGCATGCGGGCTGGTCAAATGAAAAAGAAAGTTGTCAAGAAAATTCTAGGTTTTCCTCAGGTGCTCTGTTTCTACACCAACTGTTAACAGGCTTCATATAAACCAGGGGTGGGCAACTTCTACAGTCGGCTGGCCAGTGAAAAACCCTTCAGGGGCCGGACCCGGCCGACGGTCCTTATGTTGCCCACCCCTGATATAAACCATGCTATAGTTGTAATCAAACTATAGGGTTTTTCCTCCATTAGGACTAAGTTGGTAATGAAAACAAAAATGAAGTTAAAAAGAAAAAAAGTTAAATACTTACTGATGTTCAATACTTGGTGAAACACACCAGCAGTACAAAAAACTTTCAATTTCAAAGTAGCTAGTTTATACAACTGTATAAATACATTATTAACAGCCAGCTTGTGAATAGATATCATTCTGTTTGATGATGCATGGTCCGTGAAATAAAACCGAAATACTACAGTTTAAATTGTCTCGGTTAGAACTTGAAAAACTGTGTATAAATGATGTCTTTTTACCGATATATTTTATAATTTAGAATATAAGCGTAAAATTTGCGAGTCCCTACGCTAGTATGGCCATGTTTTCTTTATCATACTGATCACGAAGGGTAGATTAATCTTGACAACAGAAAAAAAAACAACACGACACTTCAGAAACGATGCGTTAAATAATTTGATAACATTTTAATCTGCTTTTTTTTGCCACACATATCATATCAAGAGTTCATCTATAGCTATATAACAACTCCAGAGGTCTCGTGTCGCAGGCTAATAATGGATATATCGTGATAAACTATACGTGTATTGGATAAGTTCTTTATACATAATTATACATTTGATACATATTTATTGCTTATATCATGAGCTGGATAAAATTCGATGTATTTTTCCCCCATTTAAGACGGAAACGCTTTGCTGAAACAAGGCTGGAAAAAAGCATTCTTCTTCATCGATTAACGGATGTATTTTCCTTCAAATTGAATTAATCTTGCCTCGGCCTAACTATTTCATAAACATTTTTTGCTGTGCGTTGGTATGATGAAGCAAAGATTGCCAATATTCCAACCTCGAATCAGTCTGTCAAATCAGTCTGAAATTTCAGCTTAGATGAATATTTCCAAGCCCTGTCTACTACATAGCATTCATAATTGTTCAGCATTACTGAGATTGTTGTTGGTCAGTAGAATATGAATAACAAGTCGGATTATACCAGCTTTGAACAGCTGAGAAGATAAAACGGATAAAGATCGCGAATATTTTTGTTAACTTTATACCAAAACTTTTGTTCCGGAGTATTTATATCTTACGCTGACGTCATAGTATATGCTGACGTCATAGTAAAGCCATCGAAAAAATGCTTTTCATATATTCTCATTTCTAAGCCTTATTGTTATTGCGATAGCGTTTGAGGCATTGCTTCGTCTCCTCGAAGTCAAACCATGTCGGTCCAGGTCCATTCTGATAGATCAGTTTGTCCTCCTCAATGATCGCTATTCTGTTCGGACAACCGCTGAACGCAGTGCTTGCCGCGTTGTCCAGGGTATCCGAGTAAACCGGAAAGTTAGTCGGGACGAAGGCACGAAGAATCTGCGAGGCTTCCACGCGATCCTCGATTGAAACGTGTCTTCTTACAACATAGGTGTTCTATAAAAAAACATAAGGAATTACAAGTTATGAGCTATCAGTAGCAAGCCAGACATTTTAAGTTTACTTACTGTAAAAACAACAGATTTCTAAATACTTTAGTAATTCAATATTTATATAGCGAG